GCGGAGCACAAAGAATGAATCCGACGGAGTTACGGCCTGGTCCGGCACGGTGGGGGTCAGCCATGTCTCCGTGAAGCACAGAATGTTGCAGTCCCTCATGTCACGTTGGAAGGTGACCCTTGCTCTTAGGTCATCGAGCTTGTTCTCCATGGATTGTACATTGGCCAGTAGGATACTGGGCAGTGGTGCGCGATGCGCCTGCTGTCTCAGTCTGTTCCTAATACCAGCGCGCTTCTTTGTTCTGCGCCTCGGATGAGCGGCCCATCCTTTGTTGTTCTCCGCGCCGCGTAGAATCTCTGGCGGCCAGGAAGGGTCAGGTTTAAAAGTGTCCAAGATTAGATGTGCAACCTTGGCACCGATGTTTACAAGTGATCCGCTGTCGTATACTATAAGACTAGAGGATTTTGGGATGTAAACCAGAGCAAAAAATAAGTAAAAAACAAGAAAAGTGGATAGTCGGAGCGGAGCGGTCAGGAAGGCGTCTGGACGTGGCCGCGCCATCTTGGAGTATATGTATACTTATGACCCAGCTTCCAAATAAATTGCTGGGTGAGATTCTAATAAGAGCTAAATTGTCACGGGGTGCCGAGGCAGGCCGTGTGGATTAATAACGGACCCAAGATGCAGACTGCTTAAGTGGAGGGTGAGCTTTATTTACAACCAGAGAAGTACAACAAAAAAGGGTGGCGAGAAACAGAACGGTAAAAACTCTAACCTGGGAAAACTAAACTAAACACAAAACCAGAACACGAACGAGGGTACCTTGCAGGGAGAATGACCAGGAAGGCGGAGGAATAAACACAGAATGGAGGAGGGGAAATAACACAGACAAACCAGCAACTAACAGAGGCAGACATGAGGTTAAAATACACAGAAGGATAACGAGGAGATGAGACACAAAAGGAGGGCACAGCTGGGAGTAATCCGACCTGACGAGACAGGGGAAAAGTAATCTGAACACACTGAGAACAGACACGGACCTACAAAGTAAAACAGGAAACACATACACGTAATGACATAACACACCAACTTAACACAGACTGGGGGACACAGAACATGAACCATGAAACAGAAGAGTATAAACACCCAAGGTACCCAAAACCACAGAATACCAATAAACTAAACATAAACACGGAGTCACAGACTCCGGACCATGACATAAATGCAATGATTTACATTTAAAAACACGTTGAAATGAAAAATATTATTGCTTTTGAAAAGGAAAAAGTCAGGAGAGGTGTAAATAAAAGACTGGAAATGCTACATAGTACTAAAAGAGTTGTGGATTAGGCTTTGAATAATGCAGCACCTCATGTAGGCTGAGTCTTTCAGAAGTAACTATGAAGTTATTTGAATATTCAGGAATGATATTATCAGGTTATGTAATAGAGATTCCAACATTTAGGGTTCATAATCTTGTGAAAAGTTTCAGAGAATCTGGAGAAATCTCTGCACACAATTGGGACAAGCTGCTGAATTAAAAAAAAAAGAAGAAGATGTGACTGTTGTGGAAATCACTGGTTGAAAGATTTGCCTTACATGCTAAATCCACCCTCAGGAGGACACAAGCTTGTGTATTCCTGGTGCCGGTCCTAAATTAAGTGTAAATGGTAGGGTAACATCAAAAAAGGCATCCAGCATAAAATCTGTGCCAAATTAAACATGTGGATCCATCTGTTGAGGCAACCCCTCAGGAAATAATGGAGCAGATGAAAGTACCTGGCTTAGGAACACATCTAAAAACCATCATTAGTGAACACAGTTCGTTGCTGCATCCACAAGTTCAAATTCTACCACAAAAATAAGATGAGAAGGAAATGAGACCCAGAAATGCCACTACATTCTCTGAGCAAAGCTCATTTAAAGGTATACTTCCAAAAGTATTTGCTTGTCTGCCTTCACACACATATGAACTTAAATTACATCCTAGGCTTAATTCATAGAGTTTAATATATGTAGGGCTTTCCACCAGCTTCAGGAGTGTGTTTGAATTTTTGACTATTTTTCCAGAAGTGCATTTGTGAGGTCAGATATTGATGTTGGACAAGAAGTCCTGGCTCGCATTCTCAACTCTAATTTATCCTAAAAGTGTTCTGTCAGGTCGAGGTCAGGACTCTGTGCTGGCCAGTCAAATTCTTCCACATCAAACTTGCTCATTCGTGTCTCTATGGACTTTGCTTTGTGTACTGATGCGCAGTCATGTTGGAAAAGGAAGGGGACATCCACAAACATTTCCCACAAAGTTGGGGGCATGAAGTTGTTCAAATTGTTTTGGTATGCTAAAGCATTGAGAGTTTCTTTCACTGAAACAAAGGGGCCAAGTCCAACTCCTGAAAAACAACCCCACAACATACCAGAATTCGGACTAATAAGTACCGTCTACCTGGAAACCACCAAACCCAGACTCGTCCATCAGATATCCAGAGAAAGAAGCGCGATTCATCAGTGCAGAGGACACATATCCACTGCTCTGGAGTGCAGTCCTGGCATGCTTTACCCCACTGCATCTGACACTTTCTGTTGTGCTTGGTGCTGTAAAGCTTGGATGCAAATGTTTGGCCATGGAAACCAATCCATGAAGCTCTCTGCGCACTGTTCTTGAGCTTATTTCAAGGCCATATGAAGTTTGGAGGTCTATAGCGATTGACTCTGCAGAAAGTTGTCAACCTCTGCACAACATGCGCATCCGCTGACCCCACTCTGTGATTTTATATGCTCAATCACTTCACAGCTGAGACGTGGTCATTACCACACTAGAATTCTTTCACAAATATTTGTAGAAGCAGTCTGTATGCCTAGGTGCATGATTTTACACACCTACAACCAAGAATTGGAACACCTGAATTCAATGATTTGGATGGGTGAGTGAATACTTTTGGGAGTATAGTGTATACCCTCACTAGGATATCCATCAGATCTCACTGAATTACCCGGACTTTGTACTATGAAACAAGTTCAGCAATTTTTTTTTCTTTTTTCCATATTTGGCTTCACAAATAAGAAATCAGGCTAAGAGGTCACGTGAAGGTGTCTATCAACTCAACAAGTCAATCCATAGTTTCCTACGTGAAAGAGGCAGAGTCAGAAGTATGTAACCAATCATAAGCACGGACAGGTCTACTGGCAGAGCAGCAGTTTTTACAAAGGAAGATCTCAGAAAAGTATGAACAGGTTAAACGCACAATACAGTCTGAAAGGAATTCAAACGCTGGAGACAAAGCAGCAGAGTGCGAGTGTGTGAAGGGAAAGGCATTAAAAGCCCTTCATGAATACAGTATGTGTGTGCATTTCCAGTAAAGCTGGAAAGGTTCTACTATATCAGTAAGCCCTACCATATTAATAAAGTTTAGCCTATTTGAAGTGAGGTGGAAAATACCAGCTGTACTTTACAAGTGAACAGCCCTGTCATCAGAGAATCTGACAAATTGCTTAAATCAATATTTAGAGATAAATAGGCATGTTTTTATTCTTTCAGCTCCAGCTTTGTTGTTGTTGTTTTATTTGTTTTCTTTTTTGTTTTCTAAAAGACAGTAAAAAGAATAATAAAAATTCAAGCCTAAATATATACTCTGTGCAAACTGGATATAAGGTGTGCAAGTATAAATCAGTATCATTGATTAGGATTATATATTAATGCTTATAGAGCAACACAGTTTTTTGGTTTGCAGTCAGCAGGAAAAAAACAGGGATAAAGTTACTACCAAGATAAAAGACAAATACTTTAGACCCTCATATGATTCATGTACAGGGGTTTCACTATTTCCAGAGATCTGACTGATCTGTAGGCGGTGATTTTGTTGATCTCTAACCTGATAAATAAAAGACCACTTTTTTAACACTAAAAACCATTGGTTAAATCTGAAATGATCTCATTTAATCCTGCTTTACCACAAGTCTCTGATAGCCCGCCTGGTGTGCAGCTTTTGGGTGAAATGCCACAAACAGAAGGACACATATAGACTGGAACCCGAGACAGCTGCTCAGCGACCATCAACCCATCTCAAACCCATTTTCTCAGAGAGACCCGCAGCATAGTGAAAACCAGCTGATAAGCAAATCTGTGTTTCCATTAGAGAGAAGATCTCGTACTTATTCACAGTCACTAACAATACATCAAGCAAAAAATTCCAACCACAGCAATAAAAGTTAACCTGCAAAGCTTACATAAAGAGATGTAGTATAATATCTGTGCCTGAATAGACTGCCATACACACCAGGTATAGCAACTGCATTTGACTTCTTTGTAGCTGAAAACACACAGTGGGAAAACTGCAGCAGTGTGGTTGTTCACATTTCTCATTTTAACACACTCTGGTTTCTCTGATCTTTCATTTCCGAAAGAATCTGGTCTGTGGTGGATCAAAGAAAAGTTAGTGAAATGCTATGATTTGCTGCTACTTCTGGTCATGTTTTGTTTATGTGTAAAGTAAAAAACTGCAATGCAGCTTTATGATTACTTCCTATTTCCTCTTTATAAATCTATAACTGCCAGACTGGGCAACTGTGGTCACACCTATTTGCATTGTGACTAAGAGCCGTCGGCCTTATGTGTGGGGAGTGCCAACAGTGCTGAATACAATTCTGTCAGTATGCCCACTGAATGAGTCATTGAACCTGCGCCGACCTTTTGTCTTGTATATACAAAATGCATTCTTAGAGGAGAATAAGAAGCATCAGAGCAAAATGGCACAGCTGTGAATCCCTGTTTGTTTTTACCTGTGACTGTGCCACCTAATATATTCATCCACCACACTGTGCGCTACAATAACACCTATTCTTAGCCGCCTGACTCTTTGTTTTGTGGTTGCACTTCCTGTATAACTATCTGAAAAGACCAAGAATTACATATTGTGTTACTGATTCAAAAATGTAAACTGTTTCAAAGTGAAATTAATTAAAACTGCCAGTCTGCGAAATTTACTTCAAGGGGGCATCTTGACATCAACAAATGATCTTTGTTGGCGGAACACAGTTGCCTAGCAACCAGATACAACAAACTCCTGCCAGCAGGACCGTGATGCTAACGTTAGCCAGATAGCTATCTGGCTGTGAGGAAAACAAACCGGTTTAGTTTCATTTTACCGGGGGGAAAATGGTGAAAGAGACGATTCAGATATTCGCTCGCATTAAACCCACCAAGAAAAATGTGGCGGTAAGTGCCTCACAGTAACATTTAGTCCAACACTACTGTGCTAGATTCTTTTGCTTAAACAAGGCCTTACATTAGATCATCAAGTCTTATCTACTACACTTGTTTTGCACTAACCTAAATCTATATATTACTTTTATATTAGTGGAGTAGAGTCCAATAAATGAACCAGAAAAGAAACAAAACAGTCTGAGAGACCTGGAGAACAACTGAGCGACAGTGTTGTTACTGCACACAGCAGGCAAACTAAAGGAAATCAGAGACGCCACTAAGGTGGATAGATACAAAGAAAGAAGAAAAAACTCGCTGGGTAAGTTTAGTAACATATTTGGGGAGTAGTTTAATCCTTAATCCAGTGATATGACTCAAATGCTCTGTGTAACAGTTCACCTCTGTCAGGTGTAAAAATAGATAGTATTTTATCTTTAGGTCTAATCTTCTCTATGTAAGGCAAAAGGACTGTGTGTGTGTAATTACATACATATAGATCTATGAAGCTGCTGAGTGTTAAGAAATTCAAAATTTTGGATGCAAGATAGTAGAAAAACTGTTATAGACATGAGACTGTGCACCGTGGACAAATCAACCACATGTATGTGGTTGATTTGTTATGTATAATGAAATCTGGAAAAGGCCTTATTTATTATTTTTTTAAAATGTTTAAAAAAACATAAACAAGATTTTGTTACTGTATAGAGACTGATCAAGCTTCCACGTGTAGTCACACAAAAACCCTTTTTAAAACAGTGGATTAAATTTCAAGAGTATATTTCAGTTTCTTGAATTCATTAAGTCTGCTGACATTAGATGCACATTACAATTCAGATAACGCAGCAGGAAAGACACTAAACTTCAACAGTAATACGATTTTTACATCTTTATGTTTCAAACAACTTGTTTAATACTAGAGCTGGTTTTAACTTTCTAGCTGGCACCGCAATAGGCCCAAAGGGTCCAGTTCGGCTCTCTGGATGGCTCTGGAAGTGTAAAAGTAGCAGTGAAATCATGAATTATTCAAGATAATACTTTTGTATTCCTGGTGCAGTGAACCAGAAAGTTTTTTACACTTCTTTTTAGTTTTAGTTCACCATAATAACCTTGAATTGCATGGACTCACTAGTCAAATTTAATAAAGAAAACACAAGTTTTTTTTTGATTTTCTCACAAAATAGATGAATATATAATAATGATTATGTTTTATAAAAGGAATTAGTACCCAGAAGTTAGGTTGCACTTGTCTGTGTGTATATTTGTGTTTGTCTTTTATTGACTAGTCTTGTGGGGTGGGGATAAAACCGATCATCACTCTGTTCCCACGTGATTTATGGATTTTGAATCCCCTGCCGGAGGGCACTGGGAGGACAACAGGCTGCTGTTTGGATGAGTTGAGTCCTTTGTGCCTCTCAGTGACTTCCTGAGGCACAGCTGGGTGCAGGTCAGGCAGCATGCGCTCACTGCTGTGCTGTGCCATCCACACCAGCCTCTCTAGGGCCTCAGCAACCCTTTATCAGGTGGTGAACAGTACCAGGTGGTGCCCTGATGGAAGTCCCTGAGCATATGAGGCCTCATAGCAAAGGTTGCAGAAACACCTGAAGCTTGTGGGCCTGTTGCAGCACCTATTCCTACCGGAAATCCTATTTGTTCTATACATGTGCAAGAGGGCTTCTACCTGGTCTTGCCTTTCACAATAAAAGTCTACAACACGTACACTAGACTTGCAGCATAAACAACTAAATAAAAACAACAAATAGAAGAGGATTCAGTGATTGGAGTTCTAGCTGTGAAACAGAATATCCAAATATTGTATGTTTAATATTTGGAACTAATGAAACAGTATGTCTAAAGTTTGTGGTTTAGATTAGTTCAGCGCTATATAACAATATGGATGTGAACATAATGCACAGAAATAACTGAAACAACAAACTGCCCCAGTGCAAACTGGAGGTCGTTGATCCTGAGATTACAGAGACTGATACCCTCTGCACGATACCCTCGAAAGCCCTCTCCAAGTCTACAAAACACACTAGTTGGTATGGGTATAAAAACTAATTATTACAATCATTCTAAGTAATGATGTAATATCTTTATAATCTTTTTGCAGAGAGCTTCAGACTCAGCATGATGAAACATGAAATTATGAGCCAAAAGGTATAATCAGCCAACTCACTTGGAATTATTTTGCAATAAAGTACACACCTGCTGTGAGATGAATGCCACACATATAGATAGACAGATAGATAGATAGATAGATAGATAGATAGATAGATAGATAGATAGATAGATAGATAGATAGATAGAGAGCGCGCGAGAGAAAAATTAACAGAAAATGTTTAACTAATTAAAAAAATAGGAAATGATAGTCATTGCACTCCTGGGAAAATCATTTTCTTCTCCTTGTTTTATTGTGTGAGCACAGCAGCTGGTGGAAACAAATAAGCCTATTTCTTTAAGGTTTTCTGTGGCACCCACAGTGAAATGAGAACAGCTACCTCCTGGGGGCTTTTTGAGGTTTGGCACATGGAAGAGGCAGTACTGCAGGCGGAGTGACAGTGAAAAACAATCCAGTTATTTAGGTCTTATCTTTTATTCCTGCAACCTCAGGGACTTGTAATTGCATCAGTGTCCATTGGAAACATATGCCAGAACATATGTTGAAGCTTGAAGCTGAAAAGCGAATGGTAGGAGTGTTTAGGCTGACCTGACTGACCTCACTTTCAATACTCTATATTGGTTTAATGTTATGCCGTTTTTCCTCGCCTCCTCGCTTTGGCTTCAGCTTCGGTTAGTAGAGGTGATTTTGCAGGGCTTGCCAACACTATATGCTGATCGTGATTGCTTGTTCAGTTCTATTTGTTTCCACAGGATATGAGCGCCATAAACTCCACCCTTTTATTTTCAGGGCTCGCAGTACCCAAGCCACAAAACGTCTAAACGTATATTTTAGACCTAACATGATATATTGTCTTTGTGTTTAACTTGGGCCGCATGTATGGCTCCACATACCGTAACAGCATGCACACTGAAACATATAGAAGACTACGAATTCCTGTGTGGCTACTGAGCTGGAACATAACTGCCTGTGCTTATAATCCGTCTGCATAGTCCTGTGGTATGATATAGAAGTCTTTAGGCCTTCCTCTGCTATATAAAACTGACTCTGCTGTTGTCTTTGGCTCCCTCAGGTGTACTCTGTGGACAATGAGAACCAGACAGGTTCCTCTCTGGAGTTTTTTGTGCCCAAGGACCTGGCTGATGGCTTTGTTAACAACAAGAGAGAGTGCTACAACTTCAGGTATGTGACAGCCAGAGATCAAATGGTATTGTTGTAGGGTCTTTCTTTGAACAAGAATCGGTGAAGTGCTAAGTTATCAAACAAAAGCTAGATAGCTTGTTTAGCAAGCTGCATTTATAGACACAGAATCCTGCTACTTAGTGATAAGTAAAATCCAAGTGTGCCCTGAGTAACAAATGCAACCCATGTTATTTGTCATGTAATTGGATTAAAAGGTACAACCAGCACAAATAGCACAAATTGAGAGGTCAGTTCACTGAAGCTTAGCGAGCTAAAAAAAAAATGAATGTAGCCACCCTGACATCACCTATCTTTGTGCTTTGAAACTGGATGTGACAAAGGAGGGGCGAATCTGCTCACCCTTTGCAAAAATAGGCGCACTTTGTGCTCATAGAATAGCGACTTGTCAGTCATACATGACTCTTTCATATGCAGTCTATGGTCATATTGACCTTTTAGCTCCTAATACTGCAAATTTGGGCTTTAAGAGTTATATAATTTTTTTTAAAAAGAACTAGTGGTTGCATGCTACAGTGGTTAACCCATTACCGTAAAGACCCCCGTTTTCAATACCATAAAATCTGTACCAAATCAAATATGCAGATCCATCGGTAGAGGCAGCCCAATGGAAAATAACAGTAGGGGCAAAAGTACATATCTACTTCTAAAAAAAAAAAACATTAAAGCTATGACAAAGAGAGTTTATTGCTGCTATAACGCTGGCAATTTAACACTGGAGTCTATGGGGTTCAGCCTCAAGGGGATATTAGAAGACCTGGAGAGTTTGTCATTTCCACAGTGGCTTCATTTTTAAACGTGGACGTTACTGCTTGGTTGTGTCTGTAATAAAAGTCAAATTAGCTACAGTCTGAAATAAGGGCATGACATTAAAAATGTCCAAGAAAAAAAAAAATTGAAATAGATCGTGTGAATAAAGACAACACACAGAATTCAAGCTCTTAATGTTGCACAAGAACTTTCCCGTGAATAATTCATCCCCCAGTCCTGTCAGTGAAGAGCCAGAACATCTGTTTAATGCTGGTAGTGAAAGCTGCAGCCTTATATACCCTCTGGGCAGGGCTCATGCCACGCTTCCAAGCCCTAAATTCACAGTTGGGGAGTCAGACAGCACTGGACACTCAGAAGCCTTGAAAACCACACAGTCTTATAATAGCCTGTGGAGGTTCCCTTGTGCCCTTATAGAAATAAAATTTCCACATTTAACAACCTTCCTGGGCGGATTCCTCGCTTCATCTCTCTCATCTTACTGTGGGATAAAACATGACGGGCTGTGACTACTTTAGAAAACAGAATGACCAAACTCCTCCTCTTCCACTCAGGAAACTAAATTCTTGCTGCTTTTTGTGCTTATTCAGTTCTGCTGTGGGTACATGACCCCAGATATACCAGCAACATATACAGCACAAGTTCCTGCTTTCTTGTGTTTGTTTTCCTGTTGTCACATTTACATATTTTAGATTTTTTTATATATATATTAGTCAACAGTATATATACAAAATGCTGGTTTCATTTATTAAGAGAGAAAAAGCTCTCCGACTGTACCTGTGCCTGTTTGCTTCAGGGCACGGAATTCAAGGTTTCACCAATTATGGCAAGTCGTCGAGAAGCAACAAAGCAGCAGTTCTTTTTATAAAATTGTGTGTTCGTTTTACATCAGAAGTAACAGCACAAAAGGTTTGGCATTTGTCTCGTCAGTCCACAAAATGTTTTTCCAAAAGTCTCGGGGATCATCAGGATGTGCTTTGGCAAATGTGAGACGAGTCTTTGTGTCCTTTGTGGTCAGCAGTAGTTTTTCATGGAGGCCATTTTTGCACAGTCTCTTTCTTATTGTTGAATCATGACCTTAACTCAGACAAGTGAGGCCTGCAGTTCTTATATTAATGATCTGGGTTCTTTTGTGACCACCTGGGTGAGTCATCGATTTTGAGTAATTTTGGTAGGAGGGCCAATCCTGGGAAGGTTCATCTCTGTTTTAAGTTTTCTTCCAACTTATAGATAGCCTACTTCACTGTCAGACAACTTCTATTAAAGTGATTTCTTAATTCAACAAGTCGGGCAGTAATCAGGCCTGTGAGTGGTTAATGAAATTGAATTCAACTTTCCCAAAAACTGTGATTAATCAGAGTTAATTTATGATCTAACAAAGGTTTGGATAATTGTCTACCCCTTACTTAGAACTCAGGAAGACAAATAGTTTTTTCACAACTCTGCCTATATTAGACTCGGGGTTAAACACCTGGGGTTAAATACCCCGGGGTTAAATACCTGTTATGCCAAGTTTATCATGGCCGTACCACCTTTTTTACCTCTCACCTTTTTCCAGGTTCCAGAAAGTGTTCGATCAGGTCGCCAAACAAGAAGAGATATTTGAAAACATCGCCAAACCAGTTGCAGACAGGTAAACTTTAAGTGGACGTGGCACTCTAAAGAAAGTTGTTAAGTGTCCATTAGGTAATTATTTTAATGTATAATTTTGCTATGTTATTTACAGATTGTAAAATAAAAAATGGCACTGTAAGTGAGAAGACATCAGCAGGATATTCACTTCATGGAGGGATTGTTTGTTTTTTTGGAACAAATCCAATCCCACACTGTTTTTCTTTTACCAAATCTTAACCAACAGTAGATCGCCTGCTAACACACACAAATTTCAAGTTATCTCACAAAGCAAAACACTTCCTTGAATGGATAAAGTTGGCTGAATTGACCATTTTCAAATGATTTTATCTGCTAATATTGTGAAATAACTAAACCATCAGGTTAATGTAGTGTCGCTACGTTACAACAACTTGCTTATCTATTGCTATAAAATCATATGAAAATGCTGATTGCCAGCAAGGATCAGTTTTTTAATTGTCATCTTTTCAAGCTGTTGTAGCGCCACTGTCACTCTACTCAAGAATTTCTGTGTCTCTGTGCTGAGAAATCATTGTAACGCTGGTAAAAAACTGACTGTTATGGCCCGTCTAGGCACGGCCAGACCACAACATAAAGGGTGATCCATCCCCGTCCAACCCCAAGCAGCACGTCACACACTTAATATTTTGTGACAGTGATTTATTTACAATGAGTGCAGTTAAACAAAGGAAGGCAGCATATCATAACTTCAGGGTGAACCCAATGCCAAAACAACAAACAAAAGGTAGCCTCTCTCAGGAATAAACACAACTTACCTACTCAAAAGAACTAAACCAAACGACAATCACTTTCCTCCCTGCCTAACAAAAACAGGAGAAAACTGATCGAACAAAAAGGCGGTCCACCCCTACATGCTCTTACATTAACCAACATAGTGACACAGTGAACGGTCTGCCGGTTGGGTTGGGCCGAGGATGAATGACCTGGCAGTCCCTGGCAGTCTCTTCTTATCCGCTGCCTCCCGGTCCTCAGCCAATCGGTGCGAGCCATCCACCCTGGATGCACCAATCACGGAGGAGCACCTGCACACTCAAATTTACATATGATTACGATCACAGTCATAACACCCCCTTTCCCAAGAATTAACATTACCCCCAAAATGTTTAATTCAAGGAGAAAGTGCTCTAGACAGAGTATCAGCCAACACATTCTCTTTCACACTGACCCTTATTCTTCGTTTGATGTCACATTTGGTGCATGCTGCTGTTTGTGAAAGTGACAGTAGCGAGTATGAACTAGGTGTTAATCACTTAATGGTACAAAGCAAAGCTATATAGCATTTATATTGCAATGGCGGTCAACAAGGGGGCAGTTAGATAGTTGTAACTTGGCATCTATCTGGTATTCATAACTTCATCGTGTCCAAGTAAACTTTGTTGTCGTTTTACCATTGCGCTGATGTACAAGTATGCAGTATATAGCATACAGCTAACTTCGAAACCGCAGCCATCGCTGTCCACCTGTCCTGTGCAGTGTTCCTCTCTGCACACTGAGACCACACATGCTTCAGAGGGCCTTGTTGACAGGAAGTGAGTAGGGCTTAAGATGTAAATGAAGGGTGTCTGTGATTTTTGGCATGCTTTGCATACTTAAACCACTAAGTGGATGGAACTGGCAGGCAAGATGGCACACTGTGCCATCTTGAATGTGAGAGCATTTTCAAGCCACAGTACAGAGCTTCACTGTAAACTGTAGCTGATTCATTTTTATTTTGACTCCAATATTGAAGACAGCATTCATAGAACAAGGCATTTATCAGCAGAGCTAATTATTTTACCTGCACTATTCAGTTCCCTTGGATTAATTAGCAATTACCTTTTCCGGCTCAGGTACTTTAGAAGCCAAGGAAACTCAAATCGTGTAGCCTGTAACAACCTAGAGTAAGGTTACCTTAAGTGGAGGTCAAATGCTAATCCAGTAAGCTAATATACATTCCAATAACTTCTTAAAAATAAAGCTGAAGTAGCAGAACAGAGTAGAGCCCAGCCAGTGTAGGATTTTTAAGACTGATACACAGTATCAGCTGAATTCCTTTTTCAGACACACACATAAACCCATGTCTGATTTGAATATTTTTTATGTGTTGTTATTTGTGTACTACATAGTGAAACTATGTAGTACACAGACAACGTACGTGTACAGTAAGAGACACTTACTACATGAATGTTATTGAGTATTTTTGTAAAAAAAATAAAACATGTATTTAAAAACGTACTTTGATACCATTTTTTAATGGATAGTAGTAGTAAGTATTAAGGCTTAGATAAAGTAACTACGATAAAAAAAGAAGAAAAACAGCTAAATAGAATAGAAGTCAATGAAAATGAAATAACTGGAAAAAATAGGATTATCTCATATCGGGCTTTAATTTAAAAAATGATCATGCATTCATGAAATAACCCTATTTGTTGACTTTATAGACCATTTTGTCATCTCCCACAGTGCAGAATGGTACCTCAGTGATAAACTGCAGTTTCTTGCTTCTTTAAGACTCCTCTAAATACACACTGTGTCTTACAGAGCTTTACCCCCTGCCCGCTCTGACATTCAACACAGAAAAACAGCACACAAGATGGAATTTACTTGGAATTTCCTGTCATCAAATGCAAGTTATGCTGTTGTTATTGTTATGTGAACAAGATTCTTCCTCTCCTTGTCGAACCCTGTCCTGTCTCAGTTTCGTTCCTACCATCACTGGTCTTAATCACAATAGAAGCTATTTATGGACTCCCACAAGTGCTTTGAATTATCTTTGCCATTAGCAGACATATAAACAGCACAGTCAGATGTCTGGATTGGTTGACTAGGGATATGGATGCATTTGACCTGACTCACGCAGGTTATTAGGTTGCTCTCCCCACGCAACCTTTCGACAGTTTCCTCTGTGTTCTTGCATATGGTAAAAATCTAGTTAAAAAGTTGCAGTCACAGCCCGGCTTTGTGTTGCTGTATCAGTTTCAAGTTAGCATCTTTTAGTTGTTTAGTCTTTAATCTGATATCAAGGAAGTCCATTTGTAAGTGTCTTCATGTTGGCAACACCCCTCGGCAGTTATTTTGGGTTAAGTTGACCCTCCAGGTGGAGAACCAGTTGGCAATTTAAGTGATTGCTGAGACATACAATTGTATCAATAACATCAAAAAGAGATTTAAAAACTTTTTTCCCAGCTAATGTGACTTGCTGGCTTTTACAAGTATGCAAAAAAAACACAAAGACTCATCTCAGTCTATCAGTCAGTATTCTTTCCATATATGTAAACATACAGATGTTTATTAAAAAAGCAAGACAGTAAGGGCTTTGTTTAAAAACTATCAGGGAAATGCAGTATCTTTACATTAGTATCTTAATGTGAAGACATGGCTTTATTCCAACTAGTTATTGCTTAGCTGTCAGACTTGAACCCAGGCGGCTGCTTTTTAGCCATTCAGCATGTGGTCGTCTGCTCACCCACTGAGCTAAATGGTAATGTTAATAGACAAAGGCCATCTACCCAGGAAGCTAGCAATGATGTGGAAACCAACGACCAGAGAAAGTAAAGTCAATGTCATTAATCAGTCCAGACAACAGTGCAAAATAAGTTTGCACAATTATTAAAACTCAATTACAATTTTAATCTACCACAATTAAATTATTAAAAAATACTCAAAATGTGTGTCTCACCAATAAAATTCAAACCAAAAACAAATTAAGTGCTCCCCCAATTACCGCCTGACAACGTGCCTGTCTATCTCAGTCACAGCTCTTGTGAAGCTTGACATTTTCTGGATCTGGAAGAGTAACACTATGCTTAATACAACAGATATCAGACCATCAAAAGAAAAGTCAAATGTCTAGCAAGCCAGCAGGCGATGAGGTTGTCCCTGAAAACACATCAAGGTCTGTTAATTGGAAATCAAGAACACAACATAGGCTGAGTGCTGTAAAGTTCTGTCTGATTTCCAAAGGAACACAACTAACTTCAACTTCTTGAAAACACAACATAAACAGCAGCATAATGAATGCATGAAGGCCGAGCAATGGTTGCTAATATGAATCATCTAACATCAACTCAGACGTACATAAAAGTATGTCTGAGCAGCATGTGAGCATCTAGTGCACAAGCACATTACAAACACATTGCATGTGAGTAAAAACAGGTGTCCAGTAAACATAATGAGTAATGCAGGCTTCAGAAAAATGCTGCTGCACATCAGTCTCGGAAAGGTTATAATGCCATTTCTAAAGTCTATCATTCTACAGTGAGAAAGATTATTCACAAGTGGAAAACATTCAAGACACTGGACAACCCCAGGCTCAGCTTCTTGTTTTGCTTAGACAAACCGCACAAAGCTGACTCAGACTGTACAGGTATCAGTTAGTTGAATGTTAAAGTTCATGGAAGCACACTGAACAACACTGAACAAGCATGTGTTGTTTGGAAGGGAGAAAGCATCTTTTCTCTAAAAAGAACATGGCAGGTTTAGGTTCGCAAAGTTCCATCTGAACAGACCTGAAAATATCTTAGAATTGAAAAGGGTACTTTTTTTTTTTTTACTGTGACTGTTAGGACTGGGCCATATCATACCATTCACAGTAATACCGGTATAATGTTGGGCAACAATAAGAAAATGAAATATCGCGATAGAGTATGGGTAAAAAGCGCATGCGCAGTGCCTTTGTTTTCGTACGCACATGGCGGAAAAAGCATGGCGGAGAATTAGAAGGGTGAAAGCAGATCGTTGAATGAAATAGATGAACCAGAATTGGTTGTAAAAATGCTGCAACTTCAGTGGTGTGGAACTGGTTTGGCTTTCATCCATCAGATACACAACAAAGCACTATTTTTGGTAGAGCGTGCTAGCGGGCGATCGTTATTACCGTGTTTTTTGGAAAATACACTTAAAATCAATCCTTTGATTTTTCTGAAAATCAAGAGTGCCCCTTATAATCCTGTGTGCCTTATGTATGAATTCTGGTTGTGTTTACTGACCTCGAAACGATTTTATGTCGTACACGGCGCTCGAAAATCTGTCAAATGTTTTAGTACGACTTTGCTAAGCTACGAACTCGCACCGCTTGATGGATTGTCGGAGCATTACGGCTATCGTAGGCAGGAGCCTCGCGGAGTGACACGTACTGTGCTTCAACATAATATTACAGTATTGTGTGTGTATAACCTCTTTAAGTTTTGTGGATATTATACATGGTTATGCTGAGGATACGTACGCCCAATATGAATTTGCATTTGCACTGTTACATTTTTATATAACTTTAATGCACATAAAAACAGCTGCTTGTTTAAGTGAAAATGCATTGATTTTTTTTTTGCACTAATAAAGTTGTGGAGTTGTAAACTAGTTTGTCTAGTGTCAATTATATCGTCAGTTATATATCATTATCGCAAATTTTCAAATGTATATCGTGATAAATATTTTTGGTCATATCGCCCTGCTCTAGTGACTGTAGTAGTAACTGTTCCCTCTCTGTGTCCCCAGTCAGTTGTGTCCCCATGGCTGTTTCTCCCCCGGCCTAAGTGTTAAGTCCTCGTCTCCATATTTGTTGTGGTTGATGTTTTATTTTGATAGTCCCATGTTCTGCGTTTAGGGTATTTAGTTTTGCTTCCTCCCTGTCTCCTTACGTCAGATTAGTTCCAGCTGTGTTTCCCTCCTGTTGCACATTCCCTCATTACCTTCTGTGTATATATTGTGTTAGTTTCCCTTTGTTTGGTCGTCTGTTTGTCATGTGTCAAGCTCAAGTCCCCCCATGTTAGTTTTGTGTTTGTTTTCTCCTGCCTTTCGTTTTTTGTTTTTGTTTGTTTTTTGCTTCCCAGTTTCTAATAAACAGCTCACTCTTTGTGGAAATCAAGTTTTGTTTTCGCGTGTCTGCTTTTGGGTCCACACTTCAACCTTCACATGGTCTTGACAGAGCACAGACCTTGACACAAACAAAATATTTAGCTAAATATAAGAGATAAACAGGCGAAATGCTAGTGAAAAGGAAGTTAACCTACATGAAGGTATTAAGCTGACAGTCATGGTTAAAACGATGAATGGTATTTAAGAAACGGTGATCGTTGTTATTCTGTTTCATTCAGGAATTTGCAGCAGTTTCGCTGTTGTTGCACTAAAACTCGGCTGCCTATCATCTCGGCTAGCAGTAACTGTCAGGTTGCTGTTTTGGTTGGTGCTCTGTCATACTTGGCACACTTCAAGTTTAGCCAAAAGCTCTAACTCGTTTACTTGCACTAAAGTCTGTGTCTGTGCTGTGGTGTAACTGGAACCAGTTATTTCAACTCCAGCACAGTAGCTTAAAAACAAACCAGCATTAATAGCTCCACAAGGGGACGAGCCAGTGAAATGATGTCGGGCTGACACGTCAAACCCTCTATCAGGACAGTAATCTATTTCACAAGGCTGTGAAACCTGCTGCTGAAGTTCAGTTAGGGTCTGTTCAGTTTTATCTTTGCACCTGAAGAGGTTGGACACACAGCTTCGCATTTAAACAACAGAAAGAACAAGGATCTTTTGAGCCATCACTCTCCAATCTCCAGGAAAGTTGAGGTGTAAACAGGAACAAGCATTGGGAAACACCCAAGCCTCAGTGGCAGGGCCCAGGCCGCATCATTAGTACTGACATTAAGCTAAACACTGAGCCAGTGTCTTTTCCCCACGCCTGCCAATCACTTCCATGACTCACAGTAGATTAAATGGACGCCCGTTGGCTGACCAACCAACCGCCGTTCTCATAAGTGGACCCAGTGTTCTATTTTAACTGAGATGCAGTTTTTTCCCTCGCCCTTTTCATACAGGGTGTGGAACACAGGGAAGGAAACCCACACGTTGCTCAAACCTTGGCTCGCCTACACCATTAGATTAAGTGCGAGGCTTAAGTTCGTTTATAATTCATCTCGAAAAATATAGTGTAAAGATATCCTTTTTCCTTGCTATTGGCAGAGTCAGGAGCACACAGGATACCCACACCTTTGATCCAAGCTCGCGTGTCAGAGGCCCCTCTGTCATTTTACCATTACTAGCTGGTTTATTTCCAAGAAGACACAAAATTTGTTTTGCCTATAAATTTTGTCTCATGTGAGCTCTATCATTTTTAGATGTTCATTTCATTCAGACAGATCTGAATACCATTGGTTTCCATGGCCCTGAGCACGTGCAGAAGGACATTTCTGTGCCAAACCAAAATTTACCGGACCTGCTACAGCTGAGTGGTTTTGGGCTCTTTCTGTCACTCCACCACATTCCTCCTTCACCGGCAGATATCTGTCGCCATTGCAGTTCTCTGCTCGCCGTCGCCATCCGTTCCTGTGGATTTGAAGTGTCACATTCAATTAACAAAGGCCTCTGGTGTCTGCTGAAGAGTACAGTCAATGGTCTTTTTCAGATTTAAAATGCTGATGTCATTGGAGGCGTATGAGCAAGAACTGGTGACATTTAGGGAAGTCCAACCAAATCCAGTTTTATTTATAGGACCAAAACAGCAAAGCAAAGCAATGAAAATGACAAGAAACAAAAGGCAAGAAGACACCACTCTCATTCTGAGTTAAAAGGCAAGGAGCAAAAAATGAGGGGATCTTCTGTGGCTGAAAAAACTCAGTTACCTTTTGTTTTGAGTCAAGCTTCAGGGACTGCAAGGAGCAGCTGGTCCACTGACCTCACCGACCTCAATGGGACTCTTGCAGTCAGCAGCTTACATATGTAAGTTGGTGCTGATCTATTAAAAGTTATAAAAACAAATAATAAAACTTAAAATGGGCCCTAAAATTAATGGGAAACCAGTGGCAGGAAGCCACGATGGAGTAAATGTGCTCATGTTTGTGTGTACCCGTTAAAAGATGAGCATAACTGTGAGCATTACTGAGGTTCGTTACTGCTGATATTATATACAGCTGCAAAGGGCCCAGGTCCAAGAGAGGCGCGACACAACCACATCTGGAAGTGAACACAATAACCTCAGTTTACTAAAATTTGAAAAATTTAAGGCCATCAGAATTAGAAACATCCACATTTGGCCAAGACAAGAAATTTGAGTCCAGTTCACTTTGCTGTTCTGCACTGGGTACCAAGCCCCAAGTGTGATCTTGTTCCTTCCAGAGGTCTTTATAAAGGAAAAGTGAGAGTACGTCAGTGGGACAGGACAGGGTGGGCTAAGTTACAGTTTTCTTTAAAAATGAAAAAGTATTGTTCACAGGTTTGTGCCACTTGTTTCCAGACTTCAAAGTGGACCTATTCTGGTCATTCAGAAATATATTTTTATGGCTAGACTCTACTAGAGCAACTCTGCATGATTTACAGTTCAAGAGACAGCTGTCATTTAACTTATACTTGGCCCTTCAGTTCACTCGATAAAGCTGTTTTAGCTTTATGTGAATGATGGCCTTCATATTGATCAGATGAAGAAACTATTGGGAGATATTAGTGCACTGTCCACCACTATCATGTGTTTTGAAAGAATATATTTAATGCCAAGGAGCTTTCTTTTACTTTAATTTGTCACCTGTGTTTATGTATTTGTGTGCCTTCAACTTTTAGAGAAAGGAGTCAAGCACAACTTGAAAAGTATAAACATGGCATTAGTGATAGATATTTAATGGCTCATTTACATGGTACTACTTTTATTTTTTGACTTTAGCTTGAATTATTCGCGAAAACTTTGCTAATAATGTGGGTGTCTTTGCAGTGTGTTGGCTGGCTATAATGGCACCATATTTGCATACGGCCAGACAGGAAGCGGGAAGACCTTTACCATCACAGGAGGGGCTGAGCAGTACAGCGATCGTGGGATTATTCCTCGCACCCTTTCCTACCTATATGAACGGTTCAGCCAGGTCAGCAAACTGTTGTTCATTTGCCTGTTTTTCAGTTGATTATGTGCAGAACATAACAATCGTCTTTTTACCCATTATTATTATTATTAGCTTCAGAAAAATGTCAAAAATACGTAAGTCTTTTATGTGATTTATTGGTGCTCCACAGGACAGCAGCATGGTTTATACCACACATATCTCTTATCTGGAGATCTACAATGAGATGGGATACGACCTTCTGGATTCCCGACATGAAGCATCTCGACTGGAAGACCTACCGTCAGTGCCCATTTTCTTATTTTTAAGCGGTTGCACATGTCAACAACTAGGGTCATATGGTGTATATTTTAACTTTAATTTAGCCACCTCAGCCTGGCTCACAGTTATTGTGTGGTGAAATATGGAGACTCTAGTGTTTAGCAGCCCACTATGAACTGCCAGCTGACATAATGAGGCTGTGGGACCGCAATGGATGTGGTCAACCTGGTGGCAGACTGCAGGAGAGCAAAAGAGTCATGTGGATAAATAGTTTTTCAAAGCTGGTCATTGCAGCCGGTCTTTTTTTGTCCATCTGCCATTTGTTTGCAGGATTTCATGGGCTCTTTTGTTGCTTTACTCAGAACCTTTTTCTTGTTTGTTTGTTCCTTTCCGTCGTGATCCTCTTTTTTACTTTGCCTCCATCTTTCTTTGCAATCCTAATTTCCATCTGTCTAGACGCTGGTCTGTGCATTTAATTTTTTGCCTATTGTGTTTGTGTCACACACAATATTTATATTCATTCACTTTATTTTACCTTTAGTGGGACCTTCTGAGGTATTGCCATTGAACCCATGATAGGACTTATCAGTAGTTGTGACAATATTGTACCTGGCTCATTCCATGTAAATTGAAGCACATAGTCAGGGGACTAGGTCTGCGACCCAGTATTCTCTCTATTGTTTGTATTTTCTCTCCTCTGTGTCCCTCTCTCGCTCCCTCTCTCTGTCTCTTGTGTCAAGCTTGCACGTCCCAGTTCATGTCTCTCCATGTTTCCTCTTTTATTTTGAAAGTCTTCTGTTTCCATGTTCAGTGTGTTTAGTTTTGCTTCCCCTGTGGCATCTTGTTCATTTGTGTCAGAGTTGTCTCCCCAGGTGTGTCCACTTCCCTCATTATCCTTCTGTGTATCTAAGTCCTCTGTCTTCCTCTGTTCATTGTTGGGTCATCTGTTTACTTCATGTCAATTCTTGTCAGTTTACAGAGTCTTGCTTTCTACTTTTCATGTTCATGTCAGGTTTAGTTTACTTCACGTCCATGTTTCACATGTTCCTATTCAGTTTCATGTTCTCGTTGTCATAGCTGTTTATAACAGTCTTTCTATGACATTTGGTATGATGGGATATATCCTAGATTCAGTAGAAAATTGTACCAATTAAGTGTCCATGACAGTTACAAAAGCGGGCATTGGTACCTTGGGTGCTTTCTATGTTTTTACTGAAGAATTTAAATAGGAATTTAAATGGGAATGACGGTACAATAAAAGTACGGAGACGGAAAGAAACAACTCGTGATCCAAAGCATTCCATATCATCTATCACACATGGTGGAGGCAATATTATGGCACTGGCATGCCAATGCAGCGGAGTGTTTATTGATGATGTGACTGCTGATAGAAGTAGCAGGATGGATTCTGAAGTGTACAGGTCTATGCTCTTCTCAGATTCAGCCAAATGCTGCAATCTGATTGGACAGTGCAAATAGATAATGGTCCAAAGCAAAGTAGAGAAGCTACCCAAGAGTTTCTCAAGGCAAAGAAATGTGATGCTACTCAAAGGCCAAGACAATCACCTGATGTTAACCCAGTAGAGCATGCTTTTCAGTTTAAAAACCGAATGCAGAAAGATCCACATACAACAGGTAACTGAGGATGGCTGCTGTAATGGTTCAGCAGAGCAGCTGATTTCACAGGGTTTATGTATGTAACTTACATTTTACTTTAAATTACATTTCATGCAACTTACAGCAAAACTATTATTTTTTGCTACCTTAGACTGAAAACAGTCGGTCTTGTGCTTTTGCAACTTAAAATCTAGAAGAATCAAGGCAAATGTGTTCCTGCATGTTCCTTTTTTCTCAGAAAAGTTAAGTAATTAGGTTATACCCATGTAGAGGCAAAAATAGACTTTTACTGTCACCTCTGTTTCTGAGAGTGTTATCCAGTATTTTCATGTACTTGCTCGATTTAGGTTTCTCCTCTCCATTCACAGAGAATCCAGCTCAAGGTTTAGATACCCACAAATCACAGTCTTCTGGAAATAGACAGTGCCCGTCGTTAACTGTGCTCTGGCCACACTTGCTGATTCAAGGAGAAGCTGTGGCACTGACTGATGTCTCTCTTTCACTGCCTACAGTACCCCATTCTCTTCTTTATTTATTATTTCCATCGCATACTCAGTTTTCCACCCTCTCGATGCCAGAAGTCTGCAAATTACCTTAATCCATTCTCGGTTTTTGTAAAAATACAATAAACATTTATATTTCGGGTTGGCGTGGCTGTTTAGGAAAACAACCCTGCCAGGCCACAGCTTTTAATCACATTAAGATTAATTCTGTTTTATCAAACCACCTCAATTGCCTACACATGTTAGTATAATTGTCTGCATGTGTTCGCGTATCATTCCACCCTCTTTGACATGTCAGTCTAGTAGCCATCGTGTCACAGCCCCTGTGGCGGGATGGAAATAATGTGGTGAGATCACAGGGGTTCCTTAAGTGCACCGTATTTCAAAGGGTGCCTGATGTGGGCAAGAACCAATCACCTGTTTGTTTTTAAAAGCAAGCCCTGTCTGTTATCAAATCATGAACTCCCAGATAGATAAAGCACAAAGTGGGTCGCAGCCCACACTGACATGCATGTGTGGTTTGTTTGGATTCAGAGCTGACCGACGCCTGGTGAAGAGAGGGAAATGGATGACATAACTCAGATAATTCTTTTTTTGTAATTGCTTTGCTTGGAATGATTGGGGGTTTTGTCTGATTTCTGGTCATTTGTCTTTGATAATTCTCCCCATTAAAGATTCTTTTTCTGTTTTTTCAGAAAAGTAATGATTATGGAGGATCAAGACCAAAACATCCATCTGAGGAACCTGTCCCTGCAGCAGTCAGTGAATGAGGAGGAGGCTCTAAATCTACTCTTCCTTGGTGACACCAATCGTATGATCGCTGAAGTAAGAGCAAAAAGGGAAATAAAGGCTTCTGCTTTTTAATTTACATGCTATGAAAGCAGTGTTAAGAATTAGGATTGTAGGCAGCATACAAAAATATCGCTAACCACTACCGGGGTAAGGAGCATAAAAGGCATTTTTTTGTCCACAAATGCAATATGCGTTCTAAAAGGTACCTTAAGACCCATCTAAAATATTATTTTGGTCCCATGTGGTCCTTTTTACCGTTTTTTTCCCCAGTAAAACCAAGCATTCTCTCTATAATTTATGTTTATGTTGTGGTGTTGTTTTTTTCCACACTCAGACGCCCAGACTCCCCACGCTGATGAGACATGCGGTGGGTCAGCTTTTGCTTTGCAACCTGAGCTTTGGAGCAAAAGGCTGATCTCACCTCGTTTGCTCGTTTCGGTAGTTTGTAAGTAAATAGCAGACAGTAAAAGTGAACAGGATAATCAGGTTTCAAACAGGCTCTTTAGTCTTAATGAGAATGTTGAAGTGTGCGGCTGTGATGCTATCATGAAACAAAACCAAAGTAAAAAAAATATAGTAGATGTTTCAGGATCTAAGATTGAGTTTCTGGAACTTTTTAATATGTTTAGTAGGTAGTGTTTCATACGAGTATCACAAAATGAGGGAAAATATGAACATCAAATAATGCAGTTATTCCACTGAGCCTCATCTAGACAGGAATTGTAACACAAACATGTGAGACAGAGAGAGCAGCACCAAAGGCATTTAAAAACCACGAAACAAGCAAAAGGTTCTGCAATAAGGACATTAAGGATTCAGCGGAATTAAAAATACGAGGGAAGAAAAAAAAACTAGAAACAATAAAAATACAATTCAATACAGCACCTGCTCGACTATGACAAGAACAAGTCTGTTTGGCAACAGACGAGGTTAAACATAAGAGTCTAGTAATGAGATGGACAGAATACTTGATCACAGGTGAGACTAATTCAGCAGAGGTTATATTAATGGCGGTGGGACAATCACAAAGAGTGGAAAATAACTCTGTATGTGATCTTTCCGCGACCCCCTCAGTGTCAGAGCCCGGACCCTGAACAATATTACATTTGTTTTGCATCTGTTTGGTTGACACGCTTCCTATGTCAATTGCTGTGAAACCTTCAGGGATATTTCAGTGCAAACACATTCTCAGAAGTCTCATTATAAAACTTTTAAAGGGTTGCGATGTGCAGCAGGGGAGACCCCACCGCTGTCCACCCACATTCAGACTTTTGTTGACTCGTCCTCTTTGGGACTTCATCACAGGAAGGTTTCTCTTGAGCCTGAAGCAAACAAAGAACCCTCCACATGGTCAGAATCAAGTCCTTGCTCCATGCAGACCCTCCAATAAAGCAATGCTTTCTTTCTTCTGTTACTCCCAGCCATGTGGCTAATAGATGACACATCGGATCACATCGCACTCCGCAGGCAGTGAGCTCACTCGGTTTGAGACTTTACAATCCCCTCCACAACTTTATTGAACAGGACTTAAAAAAAAAAAAACACACCTTAGCTTCACAAGGAAAGGTTTCCTCTCATTTGCTCTTTTCTGTTTCGGCTTCACATCGATGTCGGACTTAGACCTCTCCTCTTCTCTCAGATTTCCCCTCCAACTTATGGGGGTGAGCTGGGTGCATAGAACCAGAATAGAATCCAATCAGAATCAAAATTATTTACATGTTTGTACACAAATAGCCAAATTTCAGCTTCCCTCTCAGTATTTTGGATCAGCAAACTCTATATATTTAGCAGTTTGTAGCACCACTTTCTGTTGATCCCCTGCGACACTGTGTGTGGTTAGTGTGAGGTTATCATAAGGTCTGCATGTGTGAGAATAAAGGACATGACTCCATTGAGGACAACTTGTACTTTACTGATGTTACTCCATAGTTTATATGTTTTGAATAGGGATACTTTCCCCTGTGGACACATTGTTTATAACTATTAATATCCATTGTGTCCCCAGTGTGCCTGCATGCTTATATGCTAAGTTACTCTATGACTTCTGGAACTATGATCCATCTGTTCATTCATCTATCCTATCATCAATCCATTTCCCTCCTGTCGGGAAGGGGGGCTGAAGCCCATTCCAAATGCCACAGGGCAAAAGACAGGATATAACCTGAGCATTTATGCTTTCTATATTTAAACATCTTTAGCTTGCTGTGCTTCTGCAAGCCTCCCTTGTGCCAGCTTCTCCCTGTCTTGCTTTTTCTGATTTAATAATCATCCTTACTTATCATTTACATCACTGCTCTGTTTTCCACCTCAAGTTTTCCATCTGTCTACATGGTAGGTCCCACAACATATATCCATATCCACAAGACTACAGATGGAAAAGGGTTCCTGAAGTAAATTCTCTAATTTAGCATGGACACACTATCCCCAACCTTGACCCATTATGCAAAACTATTAGAAATGCGATCCCAGCTCAACATATAAGAGCTGCCTCACGTTACTTTGGGGATACAATATGGAGAAAAGATAGACATGTGTAGAGTGAAGGGAATTTGCACTGAGGAAAGGGATGACAGCAGAGGGTTAAGATAGTGAAAGATCTGTCACTAGCTGTCATGACCCTAACAGTCAGGTGTTGGCACTTTTATGCCGAGAGTAAGTCAGAGTCAGAGCAGCTTTTTTAGACTGTCTATGGTGATCTTTTTTAGCAGTGAGAAAAAGTGGCTCATGTCAATATCTTAGATGACTGAGAGTTACAAGATGAGATTAGAAAGGAGGTGTCATACCTCCTTTCTAATTAAAAGCTGCTTAATAAAACCTGCATCATGTGTTCAAACTGCAAGAAGTGCATGCTCAGCGCTATGTCAGTGAATGTCCATTTCCTCCGTTTATTCTGTCAGCAATGCCCTCATCCTCCTCTAGTTAATAAAACTTGTTTGTGCAGAGTGACTCATGCTCTATTTCTGTTTCCTTCTGGTCTCAACCTGCTTTCTGCTGTTCCAGTGGCCTTCTGAAAATCAGCCTCAGCTTTTGTCAAGCCGCTACCATGTGTTCACCGCGCATTGGTTGCACATGCTGTGACTTTGATCTATAAATGAGTGGGAACAAGAAAAAAATAAGAATCAAAGGGAACGTGTTTTTTTGTTGTTGTTTGAATTGGAAAATACCAGAAATGAAGAATTAATTCCCCCCTTTGTTTTTCTGGTTTCACCACGTGTGCCAGTTTATCAGGATTCAGGATTATTACTCTCTCACAAACCTGCAACTGCAACATTATTTTAAAATCTGTTCTTGTCACTTGACCACTTTTGTCATCCTCAGACTCCCATGAACCAGGCGTCCACTCGTTCCCACTGTATATTCACTGTGCACCTATGCAGGCGTGAACCTGGTTCAGCCACCCTGCGGCGATCCAAGCTCCACCTGGTGGATCTGGCAGGATCGGACCGAGTTAGCAAGACTGGTTTAAATGGGCAGCTGCTCACCGATGCAAAGTATATCAACCTCTCTCTCCATTACCTGGAACAGGTAGGCTCTTTTTTTTCTTTGTTATATATTAATACAGATTAGAATAAAAAAAAAAACATGTTTAGTGTAAAGATATAATCTATCAGTTGGTTTAATGTTTGTTTTCTTGTTACTGATACCAAACAGAAATTTAGCTCTTTCCCCAAGGACTTCAGTTGCTTCATTTGTACTACTCCCTGTGAGTTAATAACATTGACTGGATAAAAAAAGATGGAAATAGCCACTGTGAAATCTCCCACTGATTTGTGAAGGCCCGTTTTGAAGCCCTGGGCTGACTCAAAGACACTGTGCACTCATATACTGAGAGTGGCTGCAGTGTGTTTCCTATGATATCGTGCACACTCCGCCAGGTTGACAGTTTATCCCTGGAGATTTTGCAGAGTACTGCAAAACTAGTAGAGAAATAAATTACTTTCTACATCGAGTAAATAAGTAGTGTAGAATATTGCTTTTTTAAAGAGTAACAATTGATGTACAATTCATTACATTGTTGAGAATGGAGGCAGTTTGGTTAGCAAACTGCATTCATAAACTGAACAGATGCAATGCGCAGACACATATTGAGTAACAGGTAACAAATAAAGGACTAATAAAATGGTTGAATTTTACTCACTAAACTGAAGCATAGACTGCTTGGATGCGCTATACCAGCGGTCCCCAACCCCCGGGCCTCGGACCGGTACCGGTCCGTGAGTCGTTTGGTACCGGGCAGCGAGAGTTGAGGCTCAGGTGTGAAATGTATAGTTTTCAGGGTTTTTATCGGTTTTCAGCGTTATTTTGTTATCGTTTTTATTGTTTACTCGGTTTTTACTTGGTCTTTTCACGTGTGTTATGAATAAATTTTCTTTTTTTCGGTACCGGTACTAGTTTTATTTTGTTGTATTTATCCGCAACACCTTAAAGGCCGGTCCATGAAAATATTGTCAGGCATAAACCGGTCCGTGGCGCAAAAAAGGTTGGAGACCGCTGCTATATACCACAGATAAGCCATTGAAAATGCTCCAAATGGCATCAACTGCACACACACGCACACACACACACACACACACACACACACACACACACACACACACACACACACACAAACACTGTGTAAAGATGTAGTGTAATGGCCAAACTAATGGATGAAGGGTGGCAGACTGTGTCAGCACACCTATCTCAGTTATCCATGTTAAGCAGTTATAAATAATATTCACTTGCAAATGTTAAAACGTATCCATAGAGGTCAAAAAAGAGGCCAGGCTTTAAATAGGCTCTTTAATGCTGTAAAGTTGGAAATCTTAACATGAAAGTCTAAAGGGATTTTGGAGCCAGCTTCAAGTGGCCATTAGAAAAACTGCAATTTTTGCCACTTCATCAGTGGCTTAATTTTTAAGCTTTTTAAGCCCATTGGTAATAAACCCAACAATGCTACTCAACACATTACTCTTACCCTTTTTCTATGTATGTAGTCTTTTAGTCTCTGGCCCATATTTGTAGGATTTGGGCGTGGACATTTCCAGTCTACATATTAAAAAGCTAAACTGTTGGCTGAGAATGCCCGATTTTTGTTTTCAAGCTTTTTGTTTTGCAGTTCGTCCCTCGTCGGCTCTTCATACAGATGTATATCTGATTGGCCAGTAGAATTCTGTAAGCAGCGTACAGATAGAAAGGTCTCATGTAGTGAAGATGTGATTAACACTGTAGAAATAATGCAAAAATAATGGCAGCCTTTTGAATCATGAGCCGTGTGCCAACTTTTCCCTGGTTTGCGTGGTATTTCTCAGTCATGTCAGCACTTTTCTCTTCCTCAGGTCATCATAGCACTGTCAGAGAAGAATCGTTCCCATATTCCCTACAGAAACTCCATGTTAACGTCTGTTCTGAGGGACAGTCTTGGGGGCAACTGCATGACCACCATGATTGCCACTATGGCAGTTGAGAGAAGGAACCTCGAGGTAAGCATGGTTACAATGAGGACATGTTCAGACACAAGTCTCTTAGATTCCCTCAAAAAACAATACTTTATTGTAGTTTTAGGACACTACTTTTGTCGGTGGGCTTCGTAGAGAAACTGTTGTTACCTTTGTTGAGTCTCTGCATGCATTCCTTTGAGGAAATGTACAGTATCACATGATTACTAAATTATGGTGTAATCAGGGGTATTCATTTTTCCCCCTCCTATTGACAGATCAGATCACTGACAGATTTTTCAAACTATTTTCCTCAGGAGTCCATCTCGACGTGTCGCTTCGCACAACGTGTGGCTGTCATCAAGAACGAGGCGATACTGAACGAAGAACTGGATCCTGCGCTGGTGAGACAATCAGACGCTCGCGCTGCTTCGCCAGGCCCTCGGAATTCTGACGCTGAGCTGCACAATCACACCACAGATCCATGACTTAATGTGCCGTTTTATTTTGGCCAGACCCTCCCTTAAGCTTCCAGACCTTAAATTGATCGGCAAATGAACAGCAGTGAGAATCCAGTTTCTAAACTAAGTGTAACCCACCATGTGCTTAAGTGTCCTCTTTGGGTTTCCAGCACCAAGTTAGTTTTTCCATTGTGACACAGTCAGTCTGAAAGAAGCCGTTTTCCACCCTCAACATGTGGACGCCCGTCCATCTTGTGATATTTAGACTGCTCACACGTCCTGTTTGCAATCTCTCTCTGTCTTGTTTACATGCCTCCAATTCTGTTATGGCATATTCTCTCCCAATAATTCCCAGCCTCTTGAGAAAATATTCAGCTGGTGTATACATATGTCCTTCACACAGTCATGCAAGGAAGCAGAAATTACACATTGCACTCCTCACTGAGTAGTGTTTCCCCAGATGTAGTTATGAGGAGACTTTTTTTTTTAAACCAAGAGTGGGTAGTCGGCTGAACATCATTATTTTTATTTGGTATCTATATATTTGGGATTAACTAATAATACTTTTTCAGGGGTGGTACTGGTAATTATTAATTTAGCAAGGAATAAGCAATACCTCAGGAAGTTTTGAATAAATTCTGATTAAAACTTGTAGGGGTGTAGAGTGGCAGCCCGTTCTCACTCCCGAGGCATTATATACTGACGATTTGTCAAGTCCCGCGGCGTTCCTGAGGAACGTGAAAGGTGACCGTCCGCGTTCTTATGCTACATGCCGGGTTATGGATGAAATCTAGTAGAATGACAGTCCCGCGGTAATACACAATCCAGCTATGTATTTCAGCCCTAACCCTAACCTCATCCCTAAAATACACTCATTAATCACATACCTGATAACAGTTCATTTAATTTACTTATAATAACAAAGCCTACAGGGGATATAAACTCTACACAAATAAGTAGCAACACAGGACAAAAACTAACAAAAAAACAGGGCTCATCAGGAGGAGAGGAGTGCCTTACAGTGGACACTATAAATCAGGGGTCCCCAATCCCAGTCCACGAGGGCCGGTGTCCCTGCAGGTTTTAGATGTGTCCTTGATCCATCACAGCTGATTTAAATGGATAAATTACCTTCTCAACATGTCTTGTAATTCTCCAGAGGTCTGGTAATGAACTAATCATATGATTCAGGTGTGTTGACCCAGGGTGAAATGTAAAACCTGCAGGGACACCGGCCCTCGTGGACTGGGATTGGGGACACCTGCTATAAATACACAGGCAAGAACATGAGGGTACGAGGAACAGGTGGGAACACAGCCGGAAGAAATTAGACCTAAGGAGACACGAGGAAACGCAAAGTCAACACACTGACATAAGACACGGACCTTCACAATAAAACAAGAAATACACCTGGCTCAAGGGCACAGACTTGAAACTACACAGAGGGGACAGAAAACAGGGACCTGAGAACTAGAAATACAAAACAAACCATCAACCTATCAGTCAAAACCTAGAAGAAAACAAAGCTCAATGATAACACAAAAAACCAAAATGCTGGATCACCGACCCAGGATCATAACAACTATTAGCTTAAAAGGTAATGCAGCCTAGAGACTGCTTTGAGCTCTTGGGGGCTTTTTTGTTGTTATTTCATTCACTAATAATAGGAAATCACATAATCACAGCCAGGTTAACCTCTGGCACGATGCCCCTCCTTCACTATTTGTGGTAAACTATATAACACTGTTCTTAACAAAGCTACTCTTTGCCTCACAGAAATAATTTATTTAAATTCTCAAAAACAGTAACAAAATAGTAATTCTAGTTATACTAGATACTTTGGAATACCTGTCACACCTTCCACTGTTGCAGTTTGCAAACCTGGTAGTTGTTAAAAAGGCCTAATGGGCAGATATATGGTAGCGAGTCATCACTCCTGTATATACTTCCTCTGCTCCCAACCTATCGACAGCTACTGTATTACTGCTGCTGCTAAGAGTTGGCTGGCCACTTGCAAACCCCACAGAGGTATTTTTAAGAGAGTCTGCGGCCGGCTCAGTAATTGTGACAGTGTCTGGCTGCTCCCAGTCGGGTCCGGCACAGTTACAGCTCCAGGCAAACCCAACCTCCATGGGCAAACCTCTTGTCTCTGTTTATGGATTTTTAGTGTATTTCTCATTTTATGTTCATTGCTTCTGTCTCATCTATCTCTCGGCCCAGTTTACTGAGGAAAATGCAAAGCAAGCAGCAGCGCAGCATGCAGAATAGAGTGATGTCATTTATTGTGGTTTGGGGGGGACACACTGACTCCAATTTTTGGCCTGCCCCGTCTGAAGGCGCACTGTGTCTTGGAGTCGCTGGCTTTGGTGATTTAAAACCTGAAGTTTGCTTTTCACAATGATTTGTCTGGTCCTGGTCCTATACTGTAGCCTGCAGGCTTCAAATCCTGAGGAGCAGGAAACCAGCCAGACCAGACAAAACACTGAACACGTCTCTCACTGACAGGCAAAGAATGAGGTGTTGAAAGTGACCTGTGATGATGATTAAGTCAGCCACAGTGGCCGCACCATATAAGGCTGCATCGGTTAGTTCCTCTAAGAGCACTGATGTTGGCGTTAATCCTTCAATTAGACCCGGCTGATCCCAATCTGCATTCATCAGTGGAGATTGTCAGCAGCTATTGTAACAGTCACATCGCACTGATGCATTTATGTGTTAATGCTCCCATTATTTATATTTCTTTAATTCTTAAAAGGGTTAAAAATGTTGGCTTGAGGTTATGCATTTGTGCAGAGGTTAACTTAGGGGCCCTCTTAAACTTAAAGCCAGTATTCACAAAAACGCAAACAACATCCAGCTTTAAAAGACAGCTCTGATTAGCTGTACCCCAAGTTGGTGCTTTAGTAGTATACCCCTTGGGTTACTCGTACTCCTGCTTGGGAATCACTGGTTCAGTGCAGTGCTTCTTGTTTTAGTCTGTAATACCAAAGTAGTGCCATATGACACAAGAAATTCAGCCCATGTGTTCGCATTTTGTTGTGGAGGATGAAAACCTAGCACACAGTTAGTTGTAATGGGAAATTTTGCCTAATCTTCCTTTATAAAAGAGGCCCCATAATAGCAGCATGTTTGTGAGTGGCATACTGCGTAACGCTGCACATATACATTTTTAAGGTGTAACCTGTGGTTATATTGCGGGTTATACTGCAGTGCTTACACTTTAGTGTGGGTGGTTATGTGCACAGGATAGAGGGTATGTTTTCAAGAAGAGGAGGTATAATTTAAAGTTAGGCCTGTTTAATGTTTCAAAGTTAATTGTGTTTGTCAGTACATAGACTGTGACAGACATAAAGGTAGAGAGAAAGAGGGAAAATGAACATCTAGATGTTTCTTCTATCATCAGATTTGTGTTGTTGGGTTTCCATAGGGTTTGCTGACATCATCAGTCACATGGTTTGAGTCCGTTTTTATTCAGAGCCTGCCCTGAAACTGTGGTGCCAGTGTGGGCTTGGCGCTCTGAAATAGACTGCGCAATTCTGCTGACCAACAACTGGTGGGCAGCTTTTGGGGATGCAGCTGGAAGAATTACATCAGACCACGAGCTCCAAAAAGGAGATACAGGGAGCGGCTCTGGTGAAGAGTGGTCAGATGTGGTGTTTGGTGTTAAAGCATACAATAAATACAGGGATGGGATGATGTGGGGTGATCGAGGTTGAAACAGCAAAGTCACGCCTTTCCAAAAACACACAACAGATCTGTTTCTTTTCAGAAGCGTCTCAAGTTGTGTTCGAGTGTCTGGCTGCTTTGGCTTTTCAGTTTGAGGTTGACACTCAGTCTGACCTTTGTCCTTGATTTAATTCTCACTGACCTTTAACTCTTTAGCAGTTCTGTGTCAGGAGTGGCACTGACTAACACTTGCACACAGTCGCTAATTTCTATTCCCTTTGCTCTTTGCTGTTGAGATATTTAAGTAGGATTTACCCTTAAGTAAGGGGGTTTTAGCAAAAAGAACAATGGCCACTTGTGTTTTTAGAGGGTTTAGTGTGTTGTTTCATTTGGGGATTTATGTAAAATTTTTATTACAGTGGGTTTGGCTTCATTTCAGTAATTTCATGATCCATTGACTTTGACTATTTTCCCCACCATTAACATGTAATTGCATGTCTCTGTTTTTCTCTTTTGGGACTGTTTCCTCTTTTTGAACAGATTTCCAGTGTGTAAATACCAAGTTATTGAGCCAGTCATTCACAATGTTTTTGCTGTCCGGATCTACATTTTCAGTTTACCATAGCACTTTACGTTAGGTCGTGGCACATGAGAATTGGACTCACCTCTGACCTCTTGCTCATCATCCTTCAACCTGGTTATTTTGGAGAGCTCTTCCTGTTAAAAGGAGTTTTTCCTTCCCACTGTCCCCAAGTGCTGCTCATAGGAAATCACTTGATTAGTGTTCTTCTCTCTGTTTAATATTGTACTGCCTATGCACAATGTAACTGTTGTGGTGAATTGGTCCCATGTCATTGCATTATTACACATCTGCAAAGTAGAGGTTCTTTTTTTACTTTTATAGAGAAACACGGTCATAATGGATAAAAAATGAATTTGCTGCTGATCAAAGTATCACAGAGTCAAATGTTTATCTATCTTTTGGTGTTAAGATGATGCAAGCATGCAGTAAAATCTTTTGTAAGTTGTAACAATTTGTTCTCTTTCTGCACACAAATCTTTTCCTCGTGTGGAGCCAATTCCCTGATCAGTCTGACACTTTAAGGATAAGAAGCACATTTCCTGTTTAAAATGTTTTTGTGGGTGATTGGCAGTATTAGTTCAGAGGACCTTAAACGATTAACCAAATCATGTCTCATCATACCATTATCCCCAGTATCACCAGAGTCACTGGTATCTCGCGTTTTAGTGAATTAATCAGAGTTAATAGAGCATTAACACATTCATGAAACCAAGCTGAACTGACACTGTCCCATGAGATGAGCAGTGTCCAAATCTGTGATCACTGACTGACTAATCCTTTACGTGTTAGGTAGCCAGATGGCAGTTAATCCTCTGCTAGACTGACACGAGGCTGCTTAGACTGACCTCTTTAGGCATAGAGCCTTTCAAAAGAGGCAGACTTATCTCCAGAGAGTAAAGGTTGTGGTGGTGAATTCACTTTTATCTTTTGTTATTGAGCCTCTTTAATCAAAAAAATCTCTCTAGGAGCCTTGGTTCTCAGTGATAAACAAGCATACTGCTGTCAGTGTAAATCACTCGAACGAGGCTTCTTGCTCTAAATAAAAACACCTTTTTTGATCAGTAGTGTTTCTCAGGCTTATGATTTTTTAAACATTAATATAAATTCTTCTTGTAACTATTTTTTCCCAAACCTGGCTATCTAAGTACTTATTTAAGAATCCGTGTCTGGGCTTGGTGTCATACTTTTCTTTTTATACGTATATATAGAGTAACCAGACCCGGACAGCCAGCAGCCTGTTGGCTTGCTGAGTCCTTACCAAACACGTGTGGAGAGACAGCCACCGTTGAGGTTTAATGCTATTTTGTGTTTTGCTTTCTGCATTTTTCTTCTTCGAGTATCCACTTGTCTGGAATCACTTAAGTTTGACCTCAGAAAGCATCAGCAACATAAGCCGCAAGATTATTTTCAGCAGGATTGTCTCATCAGTTGGCAGCAGCTGGATAGTTTCTGTCTGCACGTGCTTGTGTATGAGCGTCTGTCTGTGTGGAGTACTGTACTTGCAAATGTGTGCATTAATCCCCACTTTCTGTGTATATGGTGTGTATTTCAGCTGATAGCAAGTTTGAAAAGAGAGATCCTGTCTCTTAAGGAGGAGCTGGCCATGGTGACTGGAGAGCAGAGAGACGACCGACTAACTCCAGAGGAGATCCAGAAGTACGTCACCTCTACTTTTTAAAGTCCTCGTACTTTTAATCGTTGCATCGTCAGATGTTGTTCTCGAGTTAACTAAGAATGTAGAGCAGCTCAAACGTGTATCCAAGCTCCACAGACTGTATGTAAAAGATGGAAGTAGCCGGTGTGACGTCACATAATGATATGTGGGTTCTGCATTAGTGTTATCACCATCATCATGTTGTTTTCTGTGCCAGAAGATGATCAGATGAAGATCACACAGACACAGATATTGCTAATTAGTGCTTAGTTAAAATCTTCGTGCCATTTAGTTTCACTGAGTCAGATATGACCATATTTGGATTAGAGGGTGGAAGGTTAAGCGCAAACACTAAGCGGTTTTGTTTGCAAGCTGCATCAACAAACTGTATAGCTGCATTCTTACCAACCTTGAGACCTCAGAATTAGGGAGACATTCAAAAGGGCTGTTGGGGGGGTGGTATACATATACATATATATACAAAACACTTGAATTTTACAATGTTTATTTATCGGATAAAATAAGTTAAATGACACCATTATCATTGTCCGGCCGGAAACAGCGGGGGTGTCCAAATTCAGAGGCTGCGTCCACCTGACCGGACCCGGCCTTCGCGCTCTAAGTGGGCCAGGTCCTCCGAAAGCTGGGTAGACTGGAAATGAGTGACGGTGAAATTGGATGGTCTAGCCTTCAGAATTACATCACGAGATCTTTCGGTGAAGTGAAACTCTGCCGTCTGCTCCTTACTATCTAAAATATAACCAGACGCTGGCGTAGATTTTCGACCATCTCACACTTCTGTTTAATCAGTTTTCTGTTTGACGTTTATTCAGCTGTGTGAAAACCCCGGAGGAACCCACCTGAGGGATTAATAAAGTTTTATTTTATCTAATCTAATCTAATAACTTTAATCTCAGCCAAATCGATTTACTCATGAACAAATAAAACACTGAAAAAAGCCAAACAATAACATGTTTAAGTTATTTAAGTGACTTATATATCATGTTTAACCTGAGTAGCGAAAGACCGAATTTGAAAACAATGTGCTGGGAGTTTGCTGTTCTCGTCGGCTCAGATATTTGAAGTTTGCACAGCTACATTCTCGCCTGAAAATACGCTAAAAGTAAAAGAGTAAAGAGTAATATTGAGCTAAGTAGCTGCAGTAGTAGTAGCCATTGTTGGAAACTGGAATTGGCTGGGCCAATCTGGGATATAGTTTTTCAATTTTGTTGTCCGAGTGGAAAATCGGGAGAAAATCGGGAGAAATTTGGGAGAATCGTGGTGCTGGGAGATTTTCGGGAGGGGCACTGAAATTCGGGATTCTCACGGAAAAATCAGGTGGGTTGGCATGTATGTATAGGTGCTACACAGAAGTACAGGTACCTGCTAATTAATGCTAAGTAACAAACAATTTCATTGTTTCATCAGCCCCTAATATTATAATCAAATTATTATTATAATTATTAATTTGATCATTGGAGTGGAGACCAAACTATTTTCTGTAGTTAACTGTGAACATGTCTATTTCTGATGTAAAGCTGAATATTTAACATTGAGGTCTGTTGGGATAGTCGTTTTGCATTTCACTGAAGCGTTTCCTTCATTTTCAGGCCTAGAGAGTGCTGTGTTGATCCTCAGACACACAGAAAAGTGCAGAGTATACTTTATGAACTGTAATTTGTATTTGCAAAGCTCAAACCCACAGATTCTTAAGGAAAAATGTCTGGTGATTTATAAGTATTTGGGGACTGCCTAATGTGCGTATATAACTTATGGTGCTGGCTTCACATTGGTGCTGAATTGAAGTCTTGCTCAGTGCGGCTTAACCAGATCTCATGGCGTTTCCCAGCGCTGCTTTATTTCTGCTGCTGTACTCAAGTGGCAGACTGACCCAGGCAGTCGGGCAGGGCCAGGGTTCAGACCAGAGGTTTCATGGAGGATTTGGCAGATTGCTCCTCAAATGCTGATGCATTTCCCATGCCTTCGCCCCCACAGTTCACCCGTTTTATTATTTCCTCTCTACCCAGGTGATTATCCTTGATTTGCCTCTGTTTGTGCCAAACTCACACTGGGAATCTTTAATAGTATCTATTATGACCACATTTGCTGGAGTTTTTTTGTTGTCGTTTCCTCTCTATTTGATGTCCCCACTCATTTCCTGCGCTGATCGATTGCACATATCCTGGGTTATTTACTGTCACAGTTCCAAACGCACACACATCCTCGGGACTGCTGGGCTTTTGTGTTTCCAAAAGACACTTCTGTGTCAGTCCACTTCTATACAAGCTAAAGTCAAAGTAAATGTTTTAACAAGCAGTGTTAGTTTGCTACACTTGCTTGATAACGGCTCACATCACACACAGTTGAGCCACTTCTTGGAAAGTTTCCGATTCCAGTGTGTATTTCTTTCCTCTTGCAAAGTATTGAACATTGCATCCAAGGGCATTCTTAAGGTTCATGAAACCACTGATGTCTTGCAGGACCCTGAAACAGGACCGCTGCGTTTGTTTTAAGTCCTTCATCATGTAAACCTTGCATGTTCTTGTGTTGAACAAAAAATAAAAACCACACACTGTCGTGTCTACATTGGATGGGTTTGGGCACTTGCCTCCTGCTCTTTTCCTGTGGCCGCTTCCAGATCTTGAAGAACTAATGTTTGGACTATCGTTTAATGATAGTTTATCAACAGTCCGGCCCAGTGGAGCTGAAACACAAGTTTAAGTAAATAGTTTTCTTTGACCAGACCCACATTTTAAACTACTCAAATGTATATCTTAACTGTTTAAGTGCTGAGTGAGGAAGAATATAAGAGGGAGTGTGGCACTGCTTAGATGGTCTCTGTGTGTTTATGTGCACGTGTTTAGATTGGAGGAGCTCGTTAAGGCTTATCTGGATGATCCCGATCCAGATGTGACACTGTCACTGGGACCAGACATGAGAAAGATCCAGCACTGCTTCTCCCTGCTAAAGGTAATGTATTCACAGTAACCTATGTGTACAGTCTAAGGAGCTTGGAAAGAAAGTGACTGGACTTAAGTTTTGTGAAGACACTCACCTCTCATCCAAGAGGCTTCTTCAGTTTTAAAACCAAATGGTGGAGAGTTTTAAACTCTAGTGGGGATTGTCCCTTAAGAGTGTTGTTGACCCATTATTGATCATGTGCCTTGTCACATGACCCAAGGTGTGAAACAAGGCATCGGTCATTACCCGTATTATTCGGTAAAATCACTGTGAGACTACCATTACTTGGAGGACTGAGAATCTGCACAGTCCTGCTAAGTCGCCTCAGCTGGTGAACGGGACAGTTAGACACAGTTTTTTTCAATTTTCATTAATTGGGTAGGGCTGTGCGATATGACCGAAATCTCATATCTCGATTTAAGACATCTATTGTCCCGATAACGATATAAATCACAAAAATTTTACATTTTCTGTAAATTCTGTGAATCTCGGGCAGCTCGATTTGTGTGTTTCCACCTGTGCGTCGTGTAGCTGGAGTCGAGTGTTTTAACCGATGCATGAAACTATACATTTTTAGACAAGTTGTAACGGCCGCCGTTTTCTTTGTGAGTATTTATTACACAGCGTGCTGCAGGGAAAAGCCTGTTCTAACGTCTGAGTCTAAGGTTTATTTTGCTTCTCATCCATAAATACTCTGCATACTCTGTCACGCGATTCAGTTTATTTTGAAAAGTCTCAACAGGATCTTGAGCTTTATTGTGAAAGGTTTATGTGGAATATGAACAAGGGGACATGCAATGGTTTTACCGTTGTTGTTGCTAACGACAACACATAAAAACAGGCGCTTGTCTGTCTGTAGTGTGGTTATATTAAATATAAAAGAAAGAGAGAACTTTAAGAAATGAATATAGCCACTACAGTGACCATCAAAACGATGAAAAAATATTGCCGTAAACAGTTTATTTTGCGACACCGCGAAACAAATGATAGCGTGAAATGAAACAATAGACGTTTTTATATCGTCATCCAATATATATCGTTATATCGACCAGCCCTATAATCTGGTGTTAATGTCTTTTTTTTAAAATTAGGTTCTTTTGATTTGAGCAACAGATTTTCAGTGAATTCATCATAAATTTAATCATTTATTTTTTGTCATGTTTGTTAAAATATGCAATTATTTTACTAATTTGATCACACATTTCAGTTACTGAATTAATGAAACCACCAAAATTTTTATTTCCCACCATTCATCACCTCAGCTTTGACCAGGTGACCCACATCTTCTGAACTGCTCGCCCAGCTGTCACCCCCTGAGTTATGGTTGAAACTTATTTAAATGAATTTCCTGCTTTCAAGCAATTAAAGGCTCTGTGGAAGGTTACTAATCAGAATTTTATCACTGTAATTTCACTGAAATAGCCAACATTAAAATCATTAACTAGGAATGTATTGTATTGTACGCAGTCACGGGAAATATCTTTTTGGTATTGTGTGTGGCTGCTAAATCTCACTCTGAAAATGTTTTACTTCTTAGTGATGTCAGATTTTACTCAGAGTTGTTGATTTTGATGGCTGAAGGCTGATTTTCCCATAGCCTGGCTAAAGTCTGAAGACAGAGTTTTGCAGTTATTTGCCATTTAATTAGATCCTAGGTGTAATGTTGACACGCCGCCCTTAATGCACGTCTTTAAGTTAAAACTTTCCAAGAATTTCCACCTGATCGTAGCAATCAACCCATCTGAAAACTCATCCATGCCATTTTCTTTCCCACTCACCTAACCCGAGTCACTAGAAGGCAGCGGCACTGCCATTTGAGGATGTGTTGTGTATTTTTCACAGTTTAATGAAATTTTCTAGCTACATGAAAGTGATGGCCCTGTGACAACCTGGGAGACTTTTCAGGAGGTCTTGATTACTTTCAACAGTGAATTAGATAAGCAGTTAAGGAAACAGTTAACTGAGATCAAACATATTTACATGAAATATTAAAGTTGATCTCTTCGGCTTTTTCTTTATTTCCCTTGATAATCCTGTTCCAATAGTAGATGCTCTTTTCCAACATGGTCAAAGTTTCACATAGTAACTGCTCTAAATGCTCAGTTTTACACCGTTATTTTTTTGTTTTGTTTTGTTTTTTTAAATTCTTGGCTACGTATTGTGTCACAGAGTGGAAATATCACAGCAGTACGGTGGCCCTGAGAGGCCAAACGGACTGCAACTTAAGAAAGCACCAGCAATAAGAAAAACGCTGTTTTTCTCTCCAGAAATACTTCCCTTGTGCTTTTGAAAAATCTGTTTTTTCCTATTTCCGTTTTTGTTTGTTCTATTTTTGTTTTTGTTTTTCCTATTTCTGTTATGTTTTGTGTTCTTTTACAGCGTTTTTCTTATTGCTGGTGTTTTCTTAAGTTGCAGTCCGTTTGGCCTCTCAGGGCCACCGTACAGCAGTGACCAACATAACATTAAGAGCAGATTACATCCTGGCTACTTTTGTATATTTACTGTCCTGTAAAAAAGGTCATCTTCATTGTTTTCTATGGAAGTTAATCAATAATAATACTGCAAAATGTATTCAATTTATATTAGCAGTAGATTTGCAATAGAAATTTATGAGGATAAGGATAATAATTATAACTTTAAACAAAACTGTTTAAAACACACAGTTACAGAGTGCTTTATAGTTTGGATTAAAACCATACATTTGAGAAGCGTACATAACAACTATACAGTACCTTTAAGCATACAGTCGAGGATGTGTTCCCACATGCATTTACGCTTACCTACAAACATTTGGTGTGAAACAAGGGGTTAATTAAAGAAGAACTAACCTGTAACAATGAGTTTTCGGTAGCCCTTTATATTTACAGTCTTAATCTGCAAAATAATTGTTAACGTAAGCTTTAAAATAAATGTAGTAAATACTGGACATCCTGCATGCTACAGGTATCTCAGATAGAAAGAGAGAGAGGCAATCTTGTTGGTCAGAGATTGTGTCAAATAAACAAGTAGTTTCCATAGAGAAAGCTTCTGGTTTTAACTTGTTCTTAATTCAGATTGTCTGTCATTATTTTAAAATAGTGGGAGTAGCTGAAAAGATTGCATCTATTCATGTTCAAGCTTGTTGAACATGAAGCTTGAAGAGTGCCATGTTAGTTGAAGTGATCTGATAAAGGGCTCTTTACCTGTGGAGGTTTTGATTGTGATTATAGTAATGACACTGTTGCTGTCAACTCTAGAAAAAATAATCTCTTTCGCCGTTGCTGTAGCACCGCCACCTGTTTGATGCTTGTGGTATTTCATAGAGGAGAACCTGCAGCTCCAACTATGACAATGTACTTTTAACTGCTGGTGGTTTTCCCTGTAGATGCTCACTGGGCTGCTTCCTTTAAGCCTTTTTAATCATACATGTGCTAAATATACTTGATAGTCGGCATTCATCTACAATCAGTGTTGACTTCCTGCTGTGTCAGTAAGGTGGCTATCAGCCTGGCACTGGTTATGTTGTACCCTACAGAGTCACATATCTCTGGCTGTGAACTCCGATTGCTTTTCAAACCTTTTAAAAAAGGTGACTTAAATGTTCTAAAAAGTATAAATTCATGTGTTTAAAAATGATTTAAAACTTTTGAAGGAACACCTGTCATGACCTTATGTCCAAAACATTTATATATGGTGTTGAAGCGATATCAACTGAAGTTTAAATAGGGTTGGGTTGTACTTAAGTGCAATACCAATTTGTATTACAAGATGCTACACTGTGTTAATACAACATTTATTCAACCGTTAGAAACATTGATTTTCAGTGAAAACAGGCAAAAAAAGCCTTTTGCTGAAATGCCCGTAGCTAAAAAGAAATACCAAAAACATACACAATAGTGAAGGTGGTTGGTGCTGCCAGGTGGTGAAGATTTTAGATTGATCCTTCAATCCCAGAAAGTATCTTTAAAGGGAGGGGTTCCTGAGACGTTTGTTGAAATAAGTATATCAAAGGGACAGCACAGGTTGAGTTACTTGGAGACAAAGTTAGAGAGGCAAGGCGGAGATGGTTTGGACTTGTGCAGAGAAGTATTGTTGTATTTAATATCTGGCAGCTGGTGCTCAGACTGAACTAAACACTTGGGTGAGTTGTTGTTAGAAAATTTGTGTTTTTACAGTTCTTTTTGCTTTGGCTATCTACTCAGTTTGCCCTTGCATGTTGTGCATAAAATGTTTGTAGAAAGGTTCTCATTTATGGAGAAAGTCTTAGGCAATGACATGCTGCTGCTGCTGCTGAGCAATGGGAAAATGGGCTTTGGTTTGGTTGAAGTTTGAGCAGCCACCAGAAGCTGTTCCAGACCCCACTTGAATGTCTGTTTATCTCTCCTTCAGTTTGTTATGATCCGCAAACTCTATCTCCCGTTCAGTTTACATTCCTCTGAGCATCACCCGAGTCGCACTCCAGTGAACCTGTAAGAGTTCGTCCGGTTTGAATTTCATTTCATTTCATTTGTTCCCAGCGCTGATTGTCACCATTTCAGGCTTTTGTTCAACAGTTTATCTTTTGTGTTTCTGTGCCACAGTGATGACATGAAACTGAAAAGTTATTTTACAAGCCTGGGGAGCATCATCCTAGCGCAAAATGTTCAGGGTCAAGCTTCACTCCTCTTTTGTGCCTTCTGCATTTGCAAAAATTACATTTCCCCTAATATGTTTCAGATTTAAAGACCCTGTCTGAGCACCTGTGGTAAAAAATAAATAAATCACGAAATCTTTATTGTAACTGTCTTTGTGTGTGTGTGTGTGTGTGTGTGTGTGTGCGCGCGCGTGTACAGGTAATTATTTGGGACAAAAAGGGAGGAAAAAACAGATCCAGTGATGACAAAGCAACACCAGCAGCAACAGGGAGGGAAGAAGAAATTCAACACAGCCACCAAAGTGCAGGAGAGGTGGCCAAATTAAAAGAGATGCTCGGGCAACGTGATAACGAGATTAGTATCCTTTGGCTTGCTGCAGCTAGCTTACTTCAGCTCCAGTTAATCTCTATAAAGAAATATCTGACATTTCATACTGGAAGACTTTTTTCTTTCTGTTTCTAGTCTGTGTTTTATTGATCCATCATGTTTGGGCATTGGTTGCACATAGATCAAAGCCTGTGTGGAGAGGCAATAAGGGATTGAATGTTCTGAAGTGCAATTTCAAAACCATCAGCTACCGTCTGACTTTTTTTTTTTTTTTTAACAATCAGCGAGGCACACAGAACACAACGTCTTGGCCTACATTTCTGTTCTCCGTTATTTTGATATTCTGGCTGCACAAGAAAACTTGGCAAAATTGGCTTTTGCATCCACAAGCTTAGTCATTAGAATAGTTGCCAGGTTCCTGGACTGAGCGTCAATAAGAAGCAATAAAAATCTGATTGTACTAAAAAATTGTTTTACAAACAAAGGAAAAATAATTAGGGACCTTGGTATGAAACATCAAACCTCTTATGTGTTTTAACTTATTTTGACTAACTACCTATCCCATATGGTGAAATGACTGTTTTTACCCAAAATGTACTTTTCAAAGATCTCTCCTGTGAATTATCAGGAAAGAGAACAATCATCCAGGGTACCATTGCTTGTTTCTGCTACTCTGCGTCTTGGACATTAAATTGGTGCAGTTTTGATGTTGAAGCTATGATGTATCCCATGATACTGAAGTTCCAAGTTGTTATAGGAGAAATCAAGCTGAATAAAATCAAGATTTTGGCTTTAGGCTGTGAGACTTGGAGCATGTCTAAAATTGATTTGGTTTCAGTTTTTAATTGAACTCTTTCATCTACTATGAGAATCAAAAATGCTGGAAAAAGTACCATTAAAACAACTTAAAAACTGAAACTTTGACCCATTTTTAATTACTTTGAAGACCTGTAACTTAGAAAGGTAAAAGTTTGCATGGCTTCATTAAATACAGTAAATGCACTGGTACCTATATAGCACTTTTATACTCGAACACCATAAGCCTCATTCATCCAATCAAACACAGATTCATACAAGCTCTTTTTTGCTATACTTTGTCTAACAGTCAGACACACACTCACTCCGATGGATGCATTGGCATTAACTGTGGGTTCAGTATTTTGCCCAAGGATACTTTGGCATGCAAACTTGAGGAGCCAGGGAACAAACTGTCAACCTTCTAACTGGTAGAAGATGCTGAACATCTAAAACAATATTAAGTCATAACATTTGCTGGCTTCTTACTTCTTTACCTTACAGCAGGGGTGCCCAATCCCGGTCCTCGAGAGCTACTGTCCTGCAGCTTTTAGATGCATCCTTGTTCCCACACACCTGAATCAAATGAATGGCTTGTTATCAGGCCTTTGCCAAACATGATGGCATGCTGAAGAGATCAAACCATTTGATTCAGGTGTGTGGGAACAAGGATGCATCTAAAAGCTGCAGGACGGTAGCTCTCGAGGACCGGGATTGGGCACCCCTGCCTTACAGTTTTACTAACTCATTCAGGAGATAACTCATGTTAGCACACCCACACATGCCCAGACTCATCTGTTTTGGAAGTGACAGTTATATGTCAAGATGCTACATGTAATGATATTTATTTAATGCATCAGTAGGGAAATGAGGCAAAAATCACCTTGACTGGTGAGCTGTATTGACCTGATAGGACTGCGTGCACATTTGGTGCAATTTCAAACCACAGAGATTCAGATCCAGATGTACAGCATCTCATTCCTCTAATATACAGCTTCCACTGTTCACGCTTAGCTGAAACAAGAGTTACAGTGTTTAAGGAAATGGCTTTTTTAAATTGGGTGATAATGGGTGGAAAATAAATTGAGCAGAGTGGATTTCAATTTAAATTAGTCTTTCTGCATCCCACCTCAGCATTTAATCACACTTACTGCTGATAGTAAAGCCTTCATTAGGAAAAAGGTCTTTATAGGAAATGTGTCTGTGTTATTGCACGGTTGGGTTACTGCACTTCTGTGAAATATAAGTAGGTTAACATTCATCACTAGCACACCACAAAAACACAGATTCTAATGACTGCTGTTAATCATAATTACTATTAATCATAATAATGGTATTGGTGTGTGAATACGATATTTCTAATGGCTTTATGGGATTATTCCACCCTCAGCCCCTTTTGCTGTGGCTTGCCGTTAGATCACTGCACATTAGCTGGAAAATTGAGACGTCTGCTTGATTATTTAGCCAGAAAATTCGCAGGTCTCCTAAACAAATCGAATATTATCATACAGATATTTTACCGTAGTATTTCTTGGACCTGTTTTTTGGAATGTAAATTCCTTTCTTCTTTGATTTTTTCCCCCTCAAATTGTCACATACTGGTTTTCACATGATGCACGTGTAATTGCCAAAAGTGCCCCTGTACGTGTCTAAAGGCGCATATTACAGTCACTAATGTACATGCTCTCCTGACCATGTTGCCTTCTTTCATTGTGAAGTTTGTATATAAGGTTGCAGTAGCCTAAACTGTCAATCCTTCAGTCAGGGTGGTCTGTCTGCACTTTGTAACATTATAGTCTGTAAGAGTGACATTATTTCCAAACAGATCACTAATAACTATCTAGATTTCAAACCTGTATCCGCTAGCTAATTACTGTGCTGCCCATGTCTGTATGAATGTCCTACACCCTTGGCTCTACAGCGACACTGAGGAGTCCTCACAGGGTTTATTATGGGAAAGTTCCCAGTAAAACAAAGGGGGGGCATCCTATCTGCAAGAGTTAGGGCACCTGGTTTTGCTTAGTTGACTCTGCAAGAGTGAATAGATATCCACCAGTAACATGATGACAGAGAAGCAACAAACATAGCAGATTTTAAACAAACGAAGAAAGCACAGTGGTTAGGGTGACAAATAAAACAAGCCGATGTCAAAATGACAAGGTTTTCTGAGGACAGCTCATGTGGTCACATTGCACCTTAAAAACGATGACTAAAAAGGATCGGCAAATTTCAGAGAAATCTGAATTTATGAGATATAAAACAATAGAATTCAAACTTCATGCTAATGATCCTATAGAGAAAATATTGACCGGATTTCTGTGGGGCTTGAATATCCCGAGTTTTCCTAACAGGAAAGTGTTATTAATTTATTTATTTATACACTTTTTTTTAAGCAAAGTTTATGCTAGTTAAACTCAAAGTGTATATATTGTAGTTTATATCAATGCATGCTGACACACTTCTCTGTCATGCATTGTGCCAGTTTTTCCATCTCTACAGCAGCTTCTCGGTGGTCGGTCATCTAAACTGACATCAGAAAGTCTGGATTTAAGCCACATGACCTATCCAATACATGTTCTACAATAATCAAAGTGACAATTGGGTGGCTTTAGCCAATTAACTCTCACCTTTTCTTTGGTAATAAGAAATTTTGTGTCCTTGACCTCCCAAATTGCAGCATCCAGCTCAAAAATACTTAGACCCACCTGTAATTTTGTGCACTTCATGGCTGCAGTGTAAAAAATAACCTGTGAACTGTGATGAATTGTGAGCTGTATGAGCGACAACATCACTGACAGTCTCATTTGTGACTCAAATACTGTGGTGGGTGATGATATATATCAAAGGTGTTCAAAACTTGTGTAAAGCTATACTCAGCTACCACTGAACATAGATTAGTTAGACCTGGGTGGTGTATCGTGTTGAGATCTCATGACTTATCTACCCAGAAGCAACATGGCTTCACTGGTGTAAATACTAAGCCCTCAAAGCATCATGTATTACTACGTGGAAACAACCAAAAAAACCCCTCTCATGTTAGTATTGTGCATTAATTTCATTCCTGATAGTAACTATAGTCTCTCACTTTGTATCTGTGATAACAACTTAAAATTGACAGGCCTGTGCTGATGCCCTGTCTTTGTTAAAGCAGTACCATAGGGTGTCACTTATTACACATTCGGTGGAGAACATCAGCTTTTGATCATTTATTGTACTTGGATTAGTTTTACGCTGTTCAATTCATCCAAGATGTTGTAATTGGAGCTGTTTGGGTCTCCTTTTACTTAGGTGAAAATGTGAAAAATATCTTTGGGCTAGGGCCATTAAAGCTTGGTTGGTTTTGAGCCCAGAGAGGACTCGGTTGCTTGGTCAGGAAAATATCATGGCTCCAAATATTTTACAGAATGGTCATGACCGAGCTTTAAAGAAACTAACACTTCATTTTGGCAAGAAACAGAAATATTTGACCCGTTTGGGGGCAAAGCTGGCCAAAAGATACGAGTTCCACTTGCTTGCACTAATTTCCTTTCCTTGAATACTGTCATTGTATTCGTAAACGTAAAGAGTAGGGAAACAAATTGTTCCTTATAATTTTTATTGCATACATTGTGTGGTACATTGAAACTGGAGTAGTTTGTGGCACCATTGAGAATGAAATCAAACATCTGCCATGTGTGGCAATTTTAAAGGCATTTTGTGTATTTCCTGTAATGTCTGGCTTGTTGGAAATTATATTAGAGAATGACTAAAAAGCCGAGGAGGAGAAGAACATCATGAGCTGAATCTAACCGCAGCATTTTCACCACATGGCATGCGAAACAGCCCACAGATCTCACGTTCTTGCTCCTATAGAAGTTTTTATCTCCACTAGACTTCTGTGGTAGTTTTGTGCATAAATGAAGATATCAGATGCCAATAATGGAAAAACCTGATGAACAGCGGTTTGAAGTAATGACTTGTTTGAATCAATGACACAGGACCCACAGAAACAGGCTCTTTTTCTGTAAATGTTGGCTACAGTAGGTCATTTGGAAGTGTGTTAGGTTTAGATTTTGGCAGTTTTGAGAACACTGTATGTTTTATTTCAATGGAAATTGTAATTAGAGACTACTTCTTCATATTATTGTTTCCACTGACATCCCCTTTTGTCATGGCTGAAGGGAATAAAAGTTAAGTTATGCCGATTTTGTCTTTAAAAATCCCCCCGCGGTTATAGTCTGACTATAGTGAGATGTCTGCAGATCTCATTGTTAGTTGTGTGACTCAAAATTAGGGGTAGGCAACTCTTATTTCATGCTGACTAATAAATTAGGGGAAGGGCCATTCACAGGATAAATAAATCAAAATATGGTTACACGTTGAAATGAAAATATTACTAATATAAAATAAAATCCCTTTAAAACAATTTTAACTATAAGGATAACTTTCTACACTTTTCTTTTGTAGTCAGTGACTGCAGGAAGTCTAGAACCCATGCACATCAACTAATGCTGTTTTCCCCCTTGAAATGTTCTGCCAGGCCTTCACTGTAGCAACCTTTGATTGTTTCCTTCTTGTGAGTCTTTGAGTATTAAAGTAAATAACTTTTTTAAAAAAAATGCTCTTTATGGTTGAAATCAGATGACTGACTTGGCCAGTGTATAATATCTAATTTCTTTGCATTGAAAACTCTTTGGTTGCTTTTGCAGTATGCTTTGGGTCATTATTTATTTGCACTGTAAAGCGTTGTCTAATCAGTTTTGGCAGCATTTGGTTGAATCTGAGCAAAGGCTATAGGCCTGTGCGCTTAAGAGTCCGTGTTGCTGCTTGAATCAGCAGTCACATCGTCAATAAACAGTGGCCCATTTCCACTGGCAGTCATACATGCCCATACTGTAATGTTGCTTCCACCATGTTTGATTGATAATGTAGTATGCCTAAGATCGCGAGCTCTTTCTGTCTTTCTCCATACTTGTTTTCTTCCCATTATACAAGTAAATCTTGGTTTCATTTGTCCTTTTTTGTAAAACTGTGCAGACTCTTTTCTTTGTTTTCTGCTAAACTCTAAACTGGCCTTCCTCTTCTCAGGTCTTTCCATTCCCGTTTCCCCTTGTGTATTCTCATTGTGTTCCCATCTTATCTCTGTTTTTATCTTTTGTCAGATTCACGTCTTAGTGTGGGTCTCAGTCTGTATGTGCGTGTGTGTGTGCGTGCGTCTAATTACTGTTTTAATCTGATAGTCTTATATCTTGTGTGCTTCATATTGAATTTTACTTCCCCTGATATGCTGCAGCTGTCTTCCCTGGTGTTTTCAGTCTTCCTAATTACTTGCTGTGTATTTATTGTCTCAGCCTTCCCTTGTCATGTCCTCACCTCACATGGTAGTGTGTTTCTTAGCTCTGTGTTGTGCTGTTTCCCCCTCAGAGTTAATTCCTAGTTTAACATAAGCTTTTCTTTTTGTTAACCTTTGCATTGCCAAAAATAAAGCAGGCCATGAAACTAATGTGTCCAGTTAGTTTTGAGCCCATTAAAAGGGACGCATTATAAAAACTGCTATAATTCCTAAATTATAGGCCAGAGGCCTTGTCCAAATACTTTTGGACCTAAGAGTAGTCAGCTCGAACCAGCCCTGGGACAAGATCTAAGAAGAGTCAGTACAGTCACTCAGTTATTCTCAGTTATACTCTTGAGCAGACAACCACATCAGTGGGAAAAGACTCCCAAGAAATTCTTGGCAGTGTCATCTCTGCAGGCTTTTGGCTCCTCTCCACTGACTCATGCCAGACATTGCACCTTCCCGTTTCTCTAAGGTCGGATGTCATTTAGGAAATCTCTACAGAAGCACAGCCTTTATCAAATAGCACAGCCTTTATCAAATATTGAAACATTTGGGAATACTTTTATAACAATTTTGTCAAAAATTAACTCTAGAGCAGCTACCTAACTGTCCTCATATATGCTTGACATAAGTTCTTTGATTTGTGATCTGTCCAATTGAATTGAGGGAGATTTTCTTGCAGTATCTTACCTCCAAAACAAAGACAAGTGCATTCTTTAATTCCTTGCGACAGGCATCCTAGTTAAGATGTTGAAGAAGGAGAAAAAAAGAGCCCAGGATGCTGCTGCTCAGCTTGCAAACATCACCAACAGCCAGAGTCAGAGTACATCGAGTGTGTCCACGGTGGAGCTGTCACAAGAAGGAAGTATGGAGACCATCTCAGCAGACCACAGAGGACGAGCTATACAGTACATGAAAAGAGGTACGTCAACCTCAAGGTGTTCCCCTTTTCTTAAAAGGCAATATTGAAAGATTTGGCATGTTACTTGTTACATATGCAAAATCGTGTTTGAAAGACTGCTGATATGTTGTGATATAGAGTCAAAGTGTGAATCAGGTCCAGCTTCTTTCAGATGTTTTTTCCTAAACATAGCAATTTCTGGCCTTAAAATGAGGCCATATAACTTGGTTCAACCAACTCAAAAGGAGTTCATTGAGCCAAATTATCAAAAAAAAAGAAAAAAGAACAGGTAGTACAACTAGTGGTATTTAAGAGGGACTTATCTCAATAAAAGCTGTCTGTACTTTCAAGGAAAAAATAACATAGGCAAACATTCTCTGATGTAATTCCTTTCTTGTCTAATGTTCTCTAGATTTTTCTACTTTCAATAGAAAATGTCTTTTTTTAATAGTATTTCTACTATTTAAAAAAACCCAAATTAAAAGGAAAAACATCCATCAACTAACTAGTAATGTAACTTTGTAGAATGGAATGTTTTTAGTCCAGGCTGTTAGAGGCCTGTTAGAGACAGTTTCATTGTTTTACATTATGTTACAATATCTTTAAAAAGCATTTAATACATGAAAAGAGTTTAATCATGTGTCTGTGTTAAAGTATTATGCATTTCCAAAGCATTTCAGTGTTTCTAAAGACAAGTGTCCACTTGTCCACATGTTGAGAGTGAAACCAATGTCATTTTTGCATTTGGTGTGGTATTTGATATATGTGAGCTATCAGTGCTCAAGACTAAAAGTAAGAAATGAAAACTGGCTGGGTAATATTCCTCAGAAATAGAGCTGACCTAGTACTAATGCTGTTCACGCTTACCAAAATAATCAGAACAGGTCCTGTCCCACATGGACTAATAAAGCACTGTATGAATTAAATCAAATTTTCACAGATGTTGACTCCATTAAGCGTCACACTCGCTCTTTTTAAGCTTTGAAAAATTAGGTGCTAAGCCTACAGACAGGTGATCTCTCTCGGTTGGAATGTAGGCTGTTTTTTGTGGTCTTAGATTTTCACTGTGCCTTTTGTGTGTCTCTGGGCCATAACAAATTCCTGATTTGTGGATTTTACTGCATGGTAAGGGTCTGACATACCAGAACCCTTTTCTTTATTTCTACACAATGCCATGAGTAGGATTATATGTATTAAAAGGACAGTATGGTATTTTAAACCTGTAATTTGTTGCTGGTGAAAAGCTAATGGGTTTAAAACCTGTAATACTGACTGGAACGTGAAGCCGAGGCCGTGAGCCAAGACTTCTGCAATGTAAATACAAGAGACGCTATGCAGATGTGACCAGGACACTAAACCTAGACTGACAACTTTTGAGAAAGCATCCACTTAATTTAGAGACAGAATGTCTGTGCCTTTGTGAAGCAGGCCAAAAAGGGTTATTCCAGAAGTCCTGCTCGCAGTTTTCTACATCCAGTTCATCCTCAGTATCACGAGAAGCTGCCAAGCCAGATGAGCTTCATGATTACCTGATTAAAATATGTTTAATCTCCTTTTCAAGATCGCTGTCTCTTGCTTGCCCAGATCTCATCCAGGAAGTCCCGATTTGAATATTTGTATTCTGCGCCCACGGTTCTCAAAGTCAAGCATGGTACGCACATTAACAAACAACACCCACGGATGACGGTGATAGGAGCTCTTGCTACAAACAAGCCGTTTCCAATTCTGAAACCAGTGACTCAGCTGAGCAGCGAGAAAAGAAGCATGCGTGTTGTGCACTATAAAACTGTCTTTCAGGGTGAGGTTGTCAACCGACATCGAAGAGTGGTGCTTGCCATCAAATGCTTGTACAAAACACATTGAGAAAGGCTTTTTTTTAACTACACTAACACAATCTTCACAGGCACCCCTGAACCACTTGCCAAATTTGCCTCCCTACAACTTTCTATACTTCTGTGTAGATCCAGAAGAGATCCAGCACACACTGCACAGGCACAAGTATGAGTGAACATTTGCAGAGTGAGCAGCCATACTGTCCAGAATTGAACAAAGAGATGATCTTGAAATCTAGATTTTTTTTTAAATAGATCTATCCAAGAATTTTTTGATCACATCTTGTATAATCTCTTTAGTCTGGGTCTCCTCCCAACTGACCATCCAAAGTTAGACGACTAGGAGATATCCTGATAAGATGAACGTGTATGTATCAGTAATTATCTCACGATACTCAAGTTCTTTGGCAACAACTCTCCTCTAGTGCAGAGGCAGCTGTCCATTCCTGTTTTTGGATGAGAATCATGGTCTCCCATTGATGGTGCTAACTAATGTTCTGTCACCTCATTGTCAGCTTTACAGTGGGGCAAAAAAGTATTTAGTCAGCCACCGATTGTGCAAGTTCCCCCACCTAAAATGATGACAGAGGTCAGTAATTTGCACCAGAGGTACACTTCAACTGTGAGAGACAGAATGTGAAAAAAAAATCCATGAATCCACATGGTAGGATTTGTAAAGAATTTATTCGTAAATCAGGGTGGAAAATAAGTATTTGGTCAATAACAAAAATACAACTCAATACTTTGTAACATAACCTTTGATGGCAATAACAGAGGTCAAACGTTTACTATAGGTCTTTACCAGGTTTGCACACACAGTAGCTGGTATTTTGGCCCATTCCTCCATGCAGATCTTCTCGAGAGCAGTGATGTTTTGGGGCTGTCGCCGAGCAACACGGACTTTCAACTCCCGCCACAGATTTTCTATGGGGTTGAGGTCTGGAGACTGGCTAGGCCACTCCAGGACTTTCAAATGCTTCTTACGGAGCCACTCCTTTGTTGCCCGGGCGGTGTGTTTTGGATCATTGTCATGTTGGAAGACCCAGCCTCGTTTCATCTTCAAAGTTCTCACTGATGGAAGGAGGTTTTGGCTCAAAATCTCACGATACATGGCCCCATTCATTCTGTCCTTAACACGGATCAGTCGTCCTGTCCCCTTGGCAGAAAAACAGCCCCATAGCATGATGTTTCCACCCCCATGCTTCACAGTAGGTATGGTGTTCTTGGGATGCAACTCAGTATTCTTCTTCCTCCAAACACGACGAGTTGAGTTTATACCAAAAAGTTCTACTTTGGTTTCATCTGACCACATGACATTCTCCCAATCCTCTGCTGTATCATCCATGTGCTCTCTGGCAAACTTCAGACGGGCCTGGACATGCACTGGCTTCAGCAGCGGAACACGTCTGGCACTGCGGGATTTGATTCCCTGCCGTTGTAGTGTGTTACTGATGGTGACCTTTGTTACTTTGGTCCCAGCTCTCTGCAGGTCATTCACCAGGTCCCCCCGTGTGGTTCTGGGATCTTTGCTCACCGTTCTCATGATCATTTTGACCCCACGGAATGAGACCTTGCGTGGAGCCCCAGATCGTGGGAGATTATCAGTGGTCTTATATGTCTTCCATTTTCTGATGATTGCTCCCACAGTTGATTTTTTCACACCAAGCTGCTTGCCTATTGTAGATTCACTCTTCCCAGTCTGGTGCAGGTCTACAATACTTTTCCTGGTGTCCTTCGAAAGCTCTTTGGTCTTGGCCATGGCGGAGTTTGGAGTCTGACTGTTTGAGGCTGTGGACAGGTGTCTTTTATACAGATGATGAGTTCAAACAGGTGCCATTCATACAGGTAACGAGTGGGGGACAGAAAAGCGTCTTACAGAAGACGTTACAGGTCTGTGGGAGCCAGAGATTTTCCTTGTTTGAGGTGACCAAATACTTATTTTCCACCTTGATTTACGAATAAATTCTTTACAATTCCTACCATGTGAATTCATGGATTTTTTTTTCCACATTCTGTCTCTCACAGTTGAAGTGTACCTCTGGTGCAAATTACTGACCTCTGTCATCATTTTAAGTGGGGGAACTTGCACAATCGGTGGCTGACTAAATACTTTTTTGCCCCACTGTAACTGTGCGTTCTAACAGTCATATTCAGAAAGGCAAAAGGACTGCATTAGATTCTTAAAACCAACACCCTCCTTACTCTGAGTGTGCCCTGAGATCCTGTCTATGAATGCCAAATACGTAATTTGTTTGTAGTTCTCAATTCAAATCCAAAAATGTATGCATAAATACATAAGTAAATATGCCAGAGGATATTTACTCTTTCGTTTTGGCAAATGTGTACATAATAAAGAACCATACTGTTTTACTTAACTGGCAGCCTAAGCGTGGTTGACAGCCTTTATGAACTAAAAGTTTAAAGATACATGATAACAATGACCCAAAGGTGGCAGCTTTAGAAGTAGAAACTTCAGCTGCAGCTGAACTTCTTTAGACATAAACTTGGTTTAAATGTAAGGGGAATGCTGAGGTTAAGCAAGTTAAGCTTTTGGATGAGCTCTCCAGCCAAAGGCGGCATTTATTTGGCTTTTCCTGCTTAATTTTGGTTAAGTGGAGCCTCGAGTGATGATGAACTTGAGCCTTTGTAACAAGCTTGGTCATAGCCATCAGGCTCGGTATGAGCCAGAAACTCATCAAACCAAGCCTGCGCTCTTGTCTCTGCTAACCACAGCTCTCTCATCCTCTCTGACATTTTTGTGTCATGGTGCCCAGTGCAGTAATAAGACCAGAAGAGCCTGTTTGAAAACAAAATACACACTTCAAGTCTGTCCATAAAGGACTATAGAAGGAACAAAGACCATGAACAGGGGTTTTTAAAATCACTGATAAATGATGTTCCATATGTATTAGATTATCTGATATGCAGTTAACATTATTATATGGGCTGTCACAGCAGAAGATTTGTTTTCATTCGGCCTCAAAAGGCCATTTTATTTCTTTCTTTCTCTCTTGTGAGACATGAACTTCCATGGATTCTGGTTCCTCTTAGTTTTACTTGGGCAGTCCATCCAGGTATATTAACAGCTGTGAAAATAAATTTAATGAACATAGATCATTGCAACTACAGCTGATCCACAGCTGTCATGTTAAAGCCTCCAAAATCAGTTCTATTCAAATTTTCACATCA